CCCGTTTCCCACCGTTTTCCTTGGGGAGCTGGGGCCCACCCTGTGCTGCCACGTCTCTGTGTGTTCCCACCACAACACACTACGCTCCGCGTGTCCTCACGGGCCGTGTTCCCAATCCCAAGGCTCTGGCTGCCTCCATCCTGCCAGGGAGGCTCAGGGTAATACAGGGGCCTCCTGGCACCGGGAGCACAGCCACTGCCTGCATCCCACTCTTCCTTCTCCGACATTCCCTCAAATCCTGCAGACCCGTCAGGCTGTTGGCCTCGGTGACAGCTATTTCTCTAAGGGCCCATACATTGTTTTGGTATAAAAAAAAGTAAGAATAAAATAAAAAGCAGTGAAAATGCTTTGAGGTATCTTCAGCTCATCTTTTTCCCTTGCTAAAAAACAAACAGGCAAAATCATTTGGTTTGGTTTAATTGATCACTGGTTAAGTCATAATACATTTCAAAGCAAAATCTTTTCCAGGACATTGTGCCAAACATTAAAACTATTCATTTTTCTTTTTTAAACAAGGATTAATTTGACTATATTACCTTTATATACATATAAGTATAGATTGATTTCACTAGTAGCAAAATTACCCGGTACATTGCATTTCCTGATGAAAGATGGCAAAAATAGGACTTGAATATCTATTCCGTCCTTCCACCCAACCCAAACCAGAAAAGTCACGGGTATAGAAAGTACAATCACAACTACAGTTAGTTACAGTAAGGATCTCAGAGCAAGCTAAGTCTTCATCATGGAGATGACAATTGCTTCTAGGAGTCTAAATAGCAAATATACAGTACATTCCACTAAAGAGGGTTTCAGGAGCTCTCACAATGCCTCTTAATCCTCTGTTAGTAATAAAAGCTTTCATGACAAAAAAAAAATTGCATCCTTCATGAAATGAGTGAGTTTTTATTTTTGGAGCATGCGGTTTAAGGTTGGGTGCAGCCTAGGCCGCTGTCCACAGGGAGCTCACCCGAACAGAGAGCAAGCAGAAACTGTAGGATTGACCAAGATGAGAACGACAGCTCAAACGAGGCAGCGTCAGGTGCTGGGGAATGGGGGAATTACACATTCCTTCCTGCAGGTCCATCACCTGCAAGCTCTCGAGAGGGGGGAAGAAAATATCAACTGATCAGTAAAGCACATGCAACTGTACAGGACTGTTTTGAACATATTTACAAAGCACTGATCACACTGCAATTGTCAGACGATTCAGAGCAGCGCAAAAGAGCAAAATCCCCATATTTATGCAACATCCCCTGAAGTATTTCCTGTGAGCAGCAAGGGGTGCCGTGGCCAGAGACCACGCGAGCGTCCGCGCGCTGCTGCCGACGAGGAGCTGCCTTTGGGCTCGGGACCTGGAATGTGTTTTCAGCCCAGCAGCCCCAAACGGCAGCCGAGACCTTGGTTAGGGTCGAACTCAAGTTACGTTGGTGCAAAATATTAATACTCTGCATGCAGCTTTGAGGCAAAAAATCTGCAAGGAATTCACTGTATGCCCAGCAGGACAACTTTGCAGGAACTTTCTAGCATCAGCAAGAAAATTGAGATAAAACGTGCATTTCATGAGCACTCATTCACCACTGCAACACCAAAGACTTTGTCACTGTTGCCTTGGAGTGTTCTGTTATCAGCATTGCTGCAGATTTGGCTTTTCATGTTTCCTGGAAGAAGCTACCACTGTTTAGCCAACTACTTCACCCAAATGACAGGGCAGCGGGACTCTTCCTCCATCCCGTGCCTCTACCCACTAGCAATATTAACAGTCTGATTTAATGCGAATGTAGGTACTTAGCTGCTAACAATTTCTTCCTCTTACTCTTGCATCATATTTGGCAGCAGTAGGAAATACCAGTCTGACAAGCCCAGAGCTAAAGAAACCAACCAATTTTCCCCTACACAGCCAAAAACACTCCATTTCTCCTCATCTGGCAGTCTTCCTTCTGAAGGAGAGAAGAGTTTCTCTTCTTCACAGACCTCCATTTCCACAGCTACATTGTCCAGCTCCCCCGATCCTGCAACTCCAGCAACTTCAGAAGGAAGTGGTGGAAATCTGCCTCTCGCTCTGCAAGGCCTCCTCTGTACCGAGGCCTTCAGAAAGGCCAAGCTCCTGGCACTGCCCCTGGCCCGTGACGAGACAGCAGCACTTCTAAAGGAAGCAACAGAGGGTTTTGCAGCAGAAGAGGTTTCTGCCTACCCACCTCGACCCAGCTTTGAGGAGAGCAGGGCTCACTCCTATGCTAAGTCCGCAAAGGGGGAATGAGGGGATGGAGCTCCCATGTGCGGGGCAGAGCCCAGGCGTTCCTCTCTCCTCTCCATGCATATTGCATTGTCTGCACTTTGTTTTTGCAATAGTGGCTCAGCCTACCCCATTTTAAGAACCTGATCCCGTGAGGCCACAGGAAAGAACAGTGAAACTCCTGCTCCCTTAGCAGACAAAAGAAACCCCAGACACGGTCCAGAAGGCACAGTGTGGTGCAAGAAACAAGCAGCAGCTTTGCCTCACTTCCACCTTTACCACTTCCAATGGTTATTTCGAGATGAACTCAAAGAGATCTTGTTGGGCTTCTGCCTTCCAGAGAACTCCTCTGACGGCAGCACTGTAAGACTCAAGGAAATCTTACACTAAGTTCCCCTTAGCTTGCCTCTTCCACATTCCAGTGAAAAAACATAATGCAGAAACCTTAAATGAATCCACTTTTACCCTGCTCCTCATGCTGCTTTGTATTCTGAAGAAAACACAGCTTCCACTTACTGTGCTCACACTCCTTAAAACATGGAAGTCCATCCGAAGGGCTGTACTGACCCCCCTCTTGGTACATTCTTGAATGCAACAACACAGCTAAACACCAGTTAAACACAAAGCAAACTGACGCACTGCCAAGATGTGGGAGTATCCTGGATTCCCAGAGCCTCTTCCAGATTCCTGGCGCCCAAACTCCACTAAGTAGAAAGCAGAAAAGGAGGAAAGTAGAGGAGGTCAGGCCGAACTCCATGATTCTCCATGCTTTTAAAAAGGGAAGACAGTTTCAAGATATCTTCAGTTCCAAATAAAACACTCTTCCTGCTCACCACTAAAGATCACACCTAAGGATCCTCTCTGCTGCCCAAGAAAACATTGAAAACAAAAGGGCACAAAACCCTACAGAACTGTTGGCATCACCCAAAATACTACAAAGCATACAAAGCAGTTTTCCTCCATTTTTTTAAATCATGCACATATTCAAGAAAAGAACAATTAGAAAGAACTAGAAAGTGAATCCCTTCATATTAAGGTCCCTGAATGTGCTGCAGTGAACAGCTGCCAGTTTCTACAGGTCTATGCATCTGGTTTTAAGCCTATCATAATATATCACCTACTTTAGACCTGTAAAAAGCCAGGCAAGTCTCCAACATCTATTCTACCAGCAGAAACCTTTAGGTTCTATGGAGGCAGACCCTGCCTGACAAAAAAATATCTTCCAGTAAAGAAAGCTCTGTTCCTTTACTCTAAATTAGACACAAAGTGACCTATTTTTGTGAAGGAGAAACCTGAGATTTAAGACTGCTGTAGAGCAGCAACTGAAACAGTTGCACTCTGAATAACCACCTTTCTCCTGATCCCAGACTCCATATTTAAAAGAAATCACAGTAGCTGAATATATGTGTATATATACATATATACATACACATATACATGCACCCTATTGCAGACAAATGTTAATAGATAACTATTTGATCTGAGCAACTATAAAGTACATCCCGAATTTGCAAATTTCTATCCCATCAGCTCTCAGGCTGGTTTGGCAGTGGAGAACCTCACGCAGCACAACATCGTTTACTTGGCATGACAAATCTCATTTTTTCTTGGTCAGAAATTGCCCCTGACAATGTTATACAGCTTCCCTCTCGGTTAAGCATGAAAAATGGATAGAATGACAGGACATCTGAAGTGTCTTTATCCACTTTGGTGGCTGAACTTTTGTTACAAGAGATAGCTACCGAAACTTTAACACAGCAGTGCTGATTTTCAGCATTTCCACACTTGCTATGAGGTTTGAAGCTTGTTATCAAGTGGTCTTTTGCATGCACCTACTCCAGCACTGCTGGAAAAATTGCCATTTCAAGAAGGATGGGAGAAAATGGCAAGTTTTGTTCTCAAGTTGCCTCCTTACTTGTTTTGCACCAGCCAGTGCATGGAAGGTGTAGGAGCAGAAATGTGACACTACCAATGCACCTTGCTTTTTTCCACATATACTGATGTCATGCATATCTCAAAATACAGAAGTTCAGACATGCAGAAAAAAAGTGTCAAAGCACTCAAAATGCTCTCCAGATGACAACTCTTGAAGTAACATTTACTCATAACAGGGAGTAAAATGTTTTGTGCTCACTCTTCAAGTTTCACAATGACATTGTTTCTATAATAAAGTTCAATAGAAGGCACATTCCACTGAAATCATAGGAGATACAATTTAAAGAACCTGGAAAATAAGCACACAGTATTGCCTTCCAAAGGTTATAAAAAATAAAACAGGAACATGCAGATCTTAAAGCCAAGATTTTTTTTTTCTATGTTCATGATATGTTAAAAAAGAAAAACAGCAACTCTGTCCAACTTTCTCATAGTTGGGATCTTAGACTAAACAGCTAATTATTTCATTGTAAGGAGTATAGGTATTGTCAGAAAACATTTTAATTTACAGAATGATTATCATACTGATTACATAACATACAGCTGAAAATGTACACCTTCAGATCTGAGATAAGCCAAGCAAATGCACTGCTGATAACTAAAGCACTTTGAATAAGGCGACAGGCAAACATCAAAACCAAATCACATGAAACTAATAAGAACAAAACATTGAGGGAGGGAGTGGTTATGTAGAGATCAATGGATTTGGAATGATTTACAATTGATACTAGTATACCAGATACCAGGAAACATCATTAAAATTCCATTTTACCTTAAAGTTGAAAGGAAATCTCTTACTTCCAGACTAATTTCTTGAAGTACTGAGCAGCTTAATGCCTCTATGTAATGCTTTATAGTGCATCTTACAAAACACATCACATTTTAAATGTATGACTTCAAACTGTTCTGAAATCATGGAAAAGTATTTCCTAAACTGTAGGCGCATTAAGGTCACAACAGTGCTCAGCCCCATGGCTCAGCTTCATGTTATTGGAAACGATTCCATAAAGGTGAAGTTTTAGAAAAGGGCCTTTGAACCCTGGTTTTCAAACTCTGACCATGCATCACTCAATTCCATGAAGATCATTTTGGCATACTGCTCATAAGGCTGTCCTGTGGCCTGGAAACAAAACAGAACAAAAAGTATAAAAATAGTAGGAACTACAATGGAAAGGGTTCATCCCCTTTTACTCACTATTGTAACGAATATAAGACTGAGTATAACTGTGGGAACACAGCTCACTACCCTGTTACTACAGAGCTGAAGCCTCAGTTTGCTTCATTAACTGAAGCTTTTAGTGTAATCCTTAAATGACTGAAACTGTACTTAAACTATTTAGTATGAAGAGAACAGCTGAGAAAATTAGGTTTTCAAGTAATCATTCAAAAAACAAATATAGTCACCATAGGAATTGCTTCCTGACAGTCCTTGTATTAGCACATAAGCAGTAAGATTTAAGCATTATCCTCAAGAACACTGTTTTTGGATGATGTTTCCTGGAGAAACATCTGTTGCTGGTTATGAATGATGCTCATTTTCAACAACGCCAAGCCCTGACTCCCTGCCCACTTCACAGCAGCCAAACCAGCCTCTGTGTTGAGGGAACATCCAGTCCCACAGGCACCATAAGCCATTGTAAGATGTGCTTTAATACACAGGGGAAGCCTTAAGGCCCCCTCCTGCTTGACTTTTGCAAGGCATAGCACACTAGGGTCACACTTGTAAGCTGCTGTAATTGTCAGAAAAGAAACCACGAAAAGTAATTTATAAGACAACTGCAACACTGAGTATGGGGCTCCCAGAAGGAACTCAGATCAGCAAAAAAGTGGAAAAAGAGCACACAGCCAGGGAAAGGAAAGAATAGAAGCATAAAAAGGGATGCAACAAGATTCAACTAGCCTGTCAGACCTGCCAAGACATGTGACAGGTGCGAAAATTAAAACCAAGTATATTTGATATACTATTTGTATGTTAAAAATTGCCTAGAACAATGATTCAGAACAAGAAATTTCCAATATGCTGGGAAATTAACAGCAGTAGAAAAACACAAGTATTTCATAGCCAACTGTATTAATAGTCAACTGTATTAATAATATAATTATAAATATTTATGCATTAATAAGCCAATTGTATTAATATATTTTTCATTTGCTGAGTGATTTCCAAAGGCTCAAAGGCTTAACTGTTTTCCCCTCCCACAGCAAGTTCTGCCGTGGTAGCCTATGGGTCTTCATATACTGGTATTTAACCTTAAAAGACCTGAAGACTCAGCTAGTGGGAACAGAGTCCACTAATCAGCATTAAAGCTGCCAGTCAAGTGAAACAAACCCAACTGATAATGCTCAGTATGACCTTCAGGAGATTTTACCTGATAAAAGCCTTCTGCTAAATTCTGTGTTGCCTCAGTAGGACAAGAAAAAATAATTCTGCACTACCTGGATGCAGTCAGCCACTGAATTCAGAATATCCAAGCAAAGTGCAAAGCATGTAAGGCTACTGATCAATAAACAAGGCTGCATGTTTTGTCAGTGACTGGTATGACATAGTAGAAGCTTGTTTCTTCTTTCTTCAGGGAAAAGGCAGCCAGAAAAACACTCACCTTGTCTGGGTGAACTACAAGTACTGCTTTCCTGTAGTACTTCTTTACTTGTTCAGGAGTTACCAGATCTGCCATACTAACTGGTTTCCACTTGTTCTCCCCTTCCCAAAGCACAGTATGAAGAGTGGATATTAATGCTCTAATGTTTCTCTCCTTTCCCTCAATCCATTCAAGAATCTGGGAAAAAAAGGAACATATAAAAACCTGAATACAACACATGTAAGCATCCTCATTCTACCTAGACATAATCCTCACTCTTTACCCCACACAAGGTTACAAGGTTAAGATCTGTTCCGATTGCCTTACCATGCCCTCCATCCAGGTTGTTCAGTCAGGCATCCATGGGCATCAGCCACCCTAAAATCCTACTTGGCATCTACCACTACAGATTCTCATTTTTTATTAGTTTGGTTACAGAAATTCAGTCATCACAAGAGAGATTAATTACTGAGATAGTTACTAATTACAAAGCCTTGCATTATTAATGACACGAAAAGTGAAGAGTAATTAAAAACATCTGTTACAATTACACTATTTCCCTGTGAGAGCATAACATTAATTTCTTTGTCTTTACTATGATTCTTACCTGTTTTTTTATTAAAAAGCACAACTGACGTGTTTTCAGATTTCTCCTTGAAAATTTAATTAAAATATCTGTCCATTTCACAGACTTTATGCAGCGATTTTCAAACCACCATGACAGAGCACACTAGCACCTTCATTTAATACCGCATTGTATGAGATTCTCTGCCTTCTACCAGCAAAGTATCATAATAAAATGTTTATTTCTATTTGCAGTGATTTATGTTAAAGGCAGCCCTGCAAGCTCTGCGTACACTCTCAGAAAAGATGGTTTGTAATAACAATTTCAACTATCCCTCTCAAATCTTTTAATTAATTTTTCTAAAGCACAATAAGACTGTGAAAATATATTCATGTTTCATGTTATCAGTAAGTGAAATACCATAAAAATCTTAACAGCTGATTAGGTAATATCCCACAGACTATAAAAAATTAATATAAATTTAATAATGCACTCTGAGATGGCATCTTTTAGTAATTCATTACTATAGCAGTAGTACTAGCTTATTAGTAAACGCTCACACTGAAAATAGCTCATATTATTTGTCTCCAAAAATTACTTCTCTATTATCAGCCAAACCTGCTAAGGGAATGTTTGGAAACACTGAAAATACAGAATGATTCTGTCTTTAAAAAAAAAACAGACCGGCAGTTTAGGTTCTCCAAGTTTAGCTGAAAGAAATGGGAAATCCCTCTCCCTCTTAATTCTCAGGATTAATATTCTCATAATCAACAAATCTGTCTATATTTATGTAATACACTTTTATTAATAAATGGCTAGTCTTAAGGAACACAATAAAGAAGTTTTAAAATTCAAAACTAAGGTTTAGTGTCCAAATTTCTCCCCTGAGTTTCACTTGTGTTGCATTAGTGTTTTTCACTCCATGGAGACCCATCTTCCCCATGTCTTTCTGCTCATTACAGAAATTCTTTTAATCTTTACCTTTTTTTATTATTATTAAACCACTTAAAATCCTCAGCTTCTTTCTTACCATTTTTGCAAGATCCAAACAAGACTATACTACTTTCTAAACTTTTTAGTTTCTAAAAGCATATACCTGCAACTCAACTCCTTCCTTCTCTGCTGCTTTGTTATCCTCACATCTATAAGAAAGCTTTATCATTTCAGAACACTTTTGGGTTTACGCACTTGTAGTAATAGCCCTGCTACTTCATTATCTAATTACTGTAACTTATGCTAATTAATTTACACAATTACGTGGCTAATTAATTTACATAATCAAGGTCATTTAATTACAAATAAAACTATTCTGCTTTATCTGTTTCTTCTGTCATTCATTCTATCTTGCTCTGTTACCAACAGTTCTAACCCCTTTGAATCAAAACCACCATTAAACAAACCTTCAGTTTCAAAGGATCCATATCTTTTGACATTTCCTGTTTTCGCATCTCAGCAATAGTCTTTGGTCCCTTCTTATCAGATTTAGCTGAAAATCCTTGTTTAGACAAGAGGTCCTCAAAGTCATTTTCTGAAACCTTTGGCTTTTGACCTATAAAAGGAAAAAAAACATTACATGAAAATTCCTTCATACATCTTTGGGTAAGTACATGGCTTGTAGATACAGGTGTGCTTACATTTCTTACTACCACAATGAATAGTTTGGAGCAGCCTGATAAACTCCACAAGATTAACAAAAAAAGACAGGAATGGAAGGTGTTAATGGAAAAGCTTTCAGCCCAGCAGAATAGACTCTCATGCACATGACAACCAATGGCTTGTATGTCCTTTTTCAGATTTGAAGGAGAGGGTGCACACATCTACTTACTGGAGGTTTTGGAAATAGAATTATAAACAAATACAAAGATGATGAAGTTGCAACAGTTTCTTCAGCCAACTGCACATTTTACTGATTTCACACAGGCCATTATAGCAATACCTTCAGAAAACTTACCAAACCCTGGTGTTCTGACTCCTCTTTCTTCTCTTCCCCCAATGACACTGAAGTTTCCTGTATAATTGGGTTTAGCCGGTGTGCTGGGTTTAGGCTGTGACTGCCATGAAGTGCTTGGTGGTTTCGTGTTTTTCTGCCACTGATTTCCAGGCTTCTGAGATGGAGCAGGCTTCTGGCCAAACCCACTGGCTGGGAATCCCCCACCGGAGGGACCTAGCAACAAACAATAAACACTCATTCAGTGGTTGTCCATCCTGGTATCTGCCACCTATTTGGTGCAGTAAGAGGGTTTCTGACCTTCACATCTAACCAACACAGAGTTTACAATGATACTAATTTTGAAAAGAGAGACCAATAAAAAAGTGTACGTAGAACAACAAAATAGTAACAACTTTATTCACAGGTAACTTGGACTACTGGAGTTAAGGCCGTTTTGGAAGAAACATTCACTTGCCTGATTGGCCAGGCAGATGCACTCATCAAGGGAGAAAAAAATAAAATTAAAAAACAAACAAAAAAAACCCCAGCAATGACAGTAGTTCCTCCTGCAATTCATTACATTTCTATGTCTGTCAATGCGTAATAGAGAATCAAAATAATTAGCATGAAAGAATAACTACATGATCAACAAGATGTAACACATTTTGAAAGTAGTTTGGAAATTATCTCAGTCTTTTCTTCAACAGCTTCTTGTATAGCTGTAAGAAAGACAACAAAATTGTTCTGTAGGAGCATTATCAAGTCGTGTTGCATACAAGAGGACCAACACTGAAGCCTGTAACGACTCTGGTGTGCTCTAACCTGTGCATATCAACATAATATTGCCTTGATTTGTAAGATCTCTCTCTTCATTAAAGCCGCATAGGCAGAAGCCCTCAGTGACTTCAGCTGCTGTTTCCTACCTTGGCAGGGACAAACATGCCCTTTTCTCCACTCCATCATCCTCAAGGTAAGCAATGGAGCAGAATAAAGATTCACTAGTTTTAATTCACTAGTCAGTTCTCGATCACAAGGACTAGCTTGAGATTTATTATTCGAAATCAAAGCCTGATTAGGCTGTCCTTCACTGACTTCCTTTGAAGAGACTTCTAGAAAGTCAGTTTCCTTGGCAAGTTAAAGCATAACATTTCCTGGCATAAATCCACGACAGAAAAAAAAGCAGCACACTGCCTGAACTTAGATATGTCTAGAGTTTTTGGACAGGAAAAATTATGTCACATTTATGATTGTCAAGAATGCAGTTAGACCTCTTCCCATCAGAAAAATTACTTAATTTTCTTACCTAGCTCCTCACGATTGGAATTTAACTTCTGGCTAAAACACTCCTGGCTCCATTCTTGTTTCTACCAATGTCTTTTTCCTCAGATATTCACTATGGAGCCTTAGATAAAAATACCCCTGCCAGCTTTGTCAGGCCAGACAAAGCAACTCAGCTTCTTTCAAAATTGGTTCCCCACTCCTGGGCACCTCCACATGTTTGTAGCTCCTGCCTACATTTGCACTGGTTTATATAGCAGATGTCTCTCCAGCACCTTATACAATATAACGCTATGCTTCTAAATACTTCAGCTCATATAATCTAGGATTGCATTACCTTTTTCATGGAAACATCTACTTGAAGAGTCATTCTAAACCAGCCCAGTTTACCATTTCTAACTTGTGTTAAAAAGTTAGCTAAAACGTAGCTAAAATTTCCAGCTACTAGTCTAAGTACACATTCTTGCACACTTAAAAATATTCTGTTACTCCTGCAAATCATTCTACACTTAACTCCTTCACCCTCAAGACTACCAAGCTCTTTCTCTACGACAAGCCAACATTTCACTGTCTCAGCAGCAGCTTTCAGCAGCACGTTCTTAACTGCCTCATGCCAGACTACTACCAGAAATTAAACAAGAGGACCAACTTACTCATCTGGTGGTTTATAAAATGCTTACTGCAGATCAGTCTTATCAGAATTACTGCAGTACTTCAGCTTTTGCAACTAATGATTCACAGGCAATATGGAGAAGCCACACATTGCATTTTACCCTTGTATTTACCATTTACTCTTGTATTTACCATAAATACCATTGTATTTAAGATTTCACTGAGAATATATTTTATCAAATCGATGCATAATATTAACTATCAAGGCAGGATAAACTTCTTAATCTAAACATAAATGTGTTGCAATCTTCAAGTGACAGCCAGGCCAATCATTCATGGAAAAGTTTAATTTATAGTCATCAAGAATGTATTCAAACAGGTACAGTTGTCAAAAAGTTAACTTCCAAAGCACTGGTTACCTCTGGCAACACCTTATGCTTAAGCACATCACAGTGGACCTCTTCCTTCTTGAACTGCATTTGTGAGGCTTTTTTTCCCGCTGTCTTTTGCATATAAGTTATCATATCATACCTTATCATATTAGGATCAGCAGCGTTTGGAAGAGGGGTGAGGTAGCTTCCCCGACTCTTAATAGTTATTTTACAGCCTGCATTGAGTCTTTAAGGCTACCTCCTCCTTATCTTACTACTTCGACATGTAAGGGCCTCAGAAGTAGCCATAACCTACCAAATTACTACTCTCAAAAAAATTAAGGATTACCATTGTCAAATAGTAAAGTGTTGGCTACAGCACAACGCGCTTTCAGTTCTAAGGGCTGAATTTAAGGACAAAACACTTTTCTGCAACTTGGCAGTTACAGGGTGTTCCAAGTTGCTGCTCAGGATCTTGGCATCCAGGCTCATTGAAATAGCCACAAATCAGTCATTTGTTAAAATGCAAGTCAGCCCCTTCTGCTGTCTTTTGCCATTTGAGAATGCCCCAGGGCTAACTGAGTTTGAGTGAAGATAATATCCTGAAGGTGGAAAACGTTTGTAATACTGATGGAATTGATGCAGAAGCATAAGGTAAGCGCAAATCAGGCCCAAACACGACAGACTGAGTAACAGGCTATAAGGGACTACTGAACTAAATCAAAGTATTGAGTCTAAAGGAAAACAGAGTGCCATTTTAGACCTAAACAAGAACTTAATTTAACTTTCCATTTTATACCCTTTACAGCATAGTATCAATGATAGAAAAGAAACCTCATGCTAAGTTACCAAATAGAAGAACCCTAGCTTATCTTTTCAGGTAGATTCTGAAGCATTAAGTGCTTATCCTGTTTCTGAACCACAGCTAGGGTTACATTTTAAAATGTAATCCTGGATTTTTCATACCATCCCTGTAAAGATTCAGTCTTTTCTTGTTACATTCTCAGCAGCTATTGTCTATTCTCAGCAGCTGCCTGAAGCTGGTTGCTACCAATTAAAAGGGAAAAAAAAATAAAAGCTATTATGGAACAAGAAGCAAATTAGAAAATATCAGTTTTAAGTATCAGTCTCTTAAAAGATCCTACCTGGAAGACCAGATCCAAGGTTGGCAAGATCAGCAAAAGGGTCAAAGTTCTGAGATTTAGCTTGGCTGAAGGATGGACCCGAAGACACACTGGACTGGCTCCCTGTGGTAAAAGCCTGAACTGTATAATAAGAAGATACATAGTGTATTTGGCACACTTGAGAATTGAGAACCACTAATTAAAATCCTGTTTCCATAATCACCACCTCCACTGCATTTTACTACATAGAATCTTTTAATATGACAACAATAGTCTGTAACCTATAGTAACAGTTATTTGATTTATTCAGCCTTGAACTTATTCTGGGAATAAAAAGCAAAACATGCCTTCAAGCACCTTACTAAAGGGGCTGCAAGCATGGGGTGCCTAATCAACAAAAGGAAAGGCATTCAGCAGTTTCAAGTGAACTGGTAAACTGACCAGTCTGTAGTCCTTACTCACTTCAAAAGGATATATTTGACTCACAATACCTTCAAACAGAGACTTCTTCATCTGTGGTGATGCCACCTTGCTGGTTGTGGAAGAATCTGCCCAAGAATCCCATCCACCTAAGAGATCAGGTTGGCTTGAAGATGACGAAATTTTAGGTGGCTCTGCTGTCAAATTCCCTAGAGAAAAAAAAATCCACGATTACTCTTCAGGGAAAGCATCACAATAACTAACATTTTGCCAAGAAAACTTGCAGAATTGTAACCACATCACCAGTGGGCAGACTACTCGGCTTAAATTCCTGTGTTGTTTGCTTATTGTTTAAGAAAGCAATACCTTTACCACCAGAATCCCTTCACTTGTGTTTTGAAGCTTCCCCAACCACTTCACAGTAAAGGTATCTTCATCCACAGGCAGTGCTATGAATCCAACAGCTTAGAGCTCTTGGACCATCTAAGGGATAACTGCTTCGGAGCATGGCAGTGGTGCCAACAACACAGCAGGTAACCAGAAAGCAGCAGTGCTGCAGAAATGGTGCCTCCTGGCACTGAGCAGCCCATGTACTACGCAGTTGGAGACAGGCAACTTCATTGCGTGGACTCCTTAGAGGAAAAACAGGGCTGTTGGCAAAATAAGCTTCTCTTTTACCTTTATGAATTTGTGCAATACCTTTATGAATATGTGCAATTTAAGAACCAGTGACAGCCATGAGTTCTCTTCTGGGAAAGGATTACCATGAGAATCATCATTTCCACAGACAAAAGCCACTTTTCTATGTGCAAAGCAAAATCACCATGCCAATTTATAAAGGACAGTCAAATAAAGTTCAGAAGACTCTAAGGGTGGTAAATACTAATTTCTAACATGTCCTAACCAACGTACAGGTTTACATTTGCCATGCTGATCTCAGAAGTTCTTCTTTCACAGTGCATACATCACGAGAGAGGAACTATGTTCGAAACAAGAGTTGCTAGGTAAAGAATAACCCTTCAAAGCTGCACACCAGCTCTGAGCAGTCTCTCTAACCACAGCTTGCAGCAGTGCACAGTATGGCAGCACAGCTTCTGAAAGCAGCAGTTCTTCCACTACTGCAGCAACAACCTGTGCTGCAGGGAGAGACGATGTTTCAGGAAAGCTGGCAGGTTTTGCGGACTGTAAGGTATTTCAGAGAACCAGGAAAGTTAACCCAAAAGCAGTCATCCTCATCTAAACAGTGACACCTTGATGCTTTATCCTGGCTTCTCACTTTGGCAAGCTTCTCAGTTTTACATGCTGAAAACTGATACCAAATGACAACCTATTATCTGAATATTTGAGGAAATAATTTGAAGCAAATTAAATATCACTTAGAACACCTCAATCCACTGTCTAATTAACACTTTCAAGAAACCACATAATCCTTACAGTTACAGGGAGAACATCCAGAATATTCTCCCACAAACATGCTGAAAGCATATATTACAGCATTCTCATACTTCCCTGCTGCACGTAAAGGAAAGGAATAGAACAAAAATAGCTGCCAAAGACTATGGAAGGTATAGGGCCAAATTTGCAGCTTTTTCTGCACATGTAAGTCACATCCTCCTGCCTCCAAACCCAAGGGAGAAGCAGCACTTGTCTCACATCAGTCAAAACCTCAGCTAGGGCAAAGTCCAAGTCTCCAGCAATTTCTAACAGTTCAGAGATGTGCAGTACCATCTGCCATTCCCAAATGTTAAACAGACTTGAAAATAATCTGTACTAACTTCCAAACTAGAAATAATTTTAGCTTAAGGTCCCTGCCATGACAAGTGTCTTACACAGACATTAAGGATATTCTTGAGTGAATACTACTGCTTAGTAAAACCAAGGACAAATATACAAGAAAAGTTAAGGTTACCTACACAGAGATAATGTGCAAGATACTGAACCGAAAAGAATAGAGCATATACATATGTATTTCTAGAAATAAATCAATCTTTTTAGTTGTGCAGCTTTGCCATTACAAGAGATTGAAATTAGATACTGTTATGGACATGCAATTGACTTTCAGAAATGTTCTGAAGGGCTAGGACATGTCCACATGCTGACCCTTATTTCTGTAACCTGGCACACTGGAGTTCACACAGACACCGTACGACAGAGGAGCAGAAGACCTGTCTTAAGAAAGGCTAAAACATAGCTAAACACCCGAAGGCTGGAGAAATTCAGAACATGAGCAAGTCTCTCCCCAACTGCTCCTTGAATTTTTCTACAAAAGGCATCTTTATAGTCCTTTGCCACGCACGAGTGAAAACAGCCAGGGCCTAGTTGTTTTGTAACTGCTGAGACTAAAGCTAAGAAGTAAAAGAATAAGTTGTGGTAATCAGATCACACTTTCTAGCTTCCCAAAATAAAAGGACTGCATTTTACTATATCCCACACAACTTCAGTTTATTTTCTTTATTTAACCTGCCACCTACACAGTAAATCCCTTAATCAAAGGCCAACAGGATTTCCTGTGAATGATGCAAGGCTTGTTAAAGCTTGACTAGGGCCTGCCTGAGAACAGTCATTTAAATTGCCTCTGCTCTGAAGAAAATTACACGAGTCACGCAAGCTTCCCATGACTTTCCATGGCTTCTGCTGTCTTTACACCAGATCACTTTAATTTGGCTACAGGAAATATATTCCCAGACAGACTTTCATTAAATTAATCTGCTACTTACACATTCAAACTAAGCAATTTTGTTTTCAAGCATGCTTGATAAACAGATATCTCCAATAATGGAAAAAATAGAACCTCCATCTACTGGAAATAAAATTTGCTCTTGCTCTTGGATAGGTTATAAATTCTTAAGTGATCCTTAATTAACATCCTTGATTAACAGTCATAGCACATCTGAGTCTCCAAGTGACTAAAGCTTTTTTGTGAAAGATTAAAATACCTTGCAAATACACTTCTGGTGAAGCTCAACTGTTATATATCTTTTATCACAGGACAAAGGGTTGACGGACCAGATTAAGAACTACATTTCCTATGCTAAAATTACATTTTAAAGCTCTTGCAATGATTTATTTCCCATTTTAAGCTACACTGAGAAATGCAAGCCTAAAATTCCATTCACTTATTTACTGTACCAGCTTTTCTCCTGGTATTTATAGAGGTTGAATAATTATTTACTGTCCAGGAAAGCTTATCTATTTCTTTAACATTTAATTCTGGACACTCATTGCTATATCTCATTGCTGCAGCTTATCTGAAATGAATCCTGACATTACTACTAATTTATTTTTAATGAGTTTAAAATTGCTTCTCAGTTTAATGACCTAAAGCTTGCATTTTTGCTCTGCTCTCTCAATAAGATTCTTCCAGATGTGTCATTTAAGTGCTCTTGTTTGCACTTTCCTCTCCACTCCTGTGCTGACGTTCAGAGAAGCCTCAGCAGGCTGGAGACATGGGGCAGAGGGAAGTCTCATGAGGTCCAAAGGGAAATGTGAAATCCTCTGTCTGGGGAGGAGTAATCCTATGCACCAGCACAGGCTGCGGGCAGATCACAAGAGGCCACATCTGAACTGCTGTTGGCAGTGTTGGTTCCCCAGCACAGCAGAGATGTGCAGCTACCCGAGTGAGGCCAGTGCCTGGAGCATCTGTCATCTGGGTACATCAATTTGTATTAATACCTGATGGGAAGAGGATGACAAACATACTCTTCTTAGTGGTGTCTAGTCACAGGACGAAAGATAATGAGCTCAGACTGAAATACAGGAAAATGTTTAAACCAAAAGACATGTTTTCTCTAAGGGTATTCAAACACAACAGCAGGTTGACCAGAAAGGGTGTAGATTATGTAAGGTTTAGAGATATCTGTGTCAGACTGGACACAGCCCTGATCAACCAGCTCTAGCTGACCCTGGTTTGCAGGACAAGTCAGGCTAGATAATCTCCAGGGGTCTTTTCCAACTGCAGTCATTTTGTGATTTCCATGATAATAATGTAGAACAGCCAGAAAAAAAACAGTGTAAGTGGATAGGGGTAGGACTATGACAATTGGTTCATATGAGAGAACTATTGCAGAGATCTGAAGTGTTGCAAATACAACTTATAAAATTATAATTATCACTTCACTGGTCAAAGCTAAGGATGACAGCAGACCCATGCAGCATATGGCTGCTCTTCTGAAGCAATACCAAACTCACAGGTCTTCCAACACTGCATGTTACGAGGAGTCAAAACTCAATAGTCAGTCAGTAGAACAACTGCAAGGTAAGAACTAATTCACAGTGACTAATTTACATAACTAATTCACAGAGTACACAGATGACTAACCTTCCAAGGCAAGAAGAAAGCCAGGCAAATACTGCATCTTGTTTGCACTGATTATCTGATTTCTGTGAGTATACACATCCTGTGTGAATGTCAATTGGACCAATCCTTCCAAGGGAAGGGAAACTCAAAACTGTTTGCATAAAACAAGCTCTGTAAAAAGTGCTCTGGATTCAGAGGTGAGGAATACATCACCACTTACATAGTTCAAATTTATAAACTCATTAAGCATACAACTTAAGCAGCACTTGAGTCTTAAACTATCCAGTCCAGGTCTTAACAGTACACACATAATTCAGTTTCTTATCAGAGCACTTTCAAGAAAGTGAAAGGAAAATAAACCCTGAGAAGCAGAAAAGATAAGCAGGTATCAATGTATTTCGTGCTACACAATCTCACGTCCACAGTACAAAAACTGTTTGGCTACAAAGGTTATTTTAATGCATCACTATGGTGGAGGAAACTAAATCTGTCACTTGAGTTTTCATGTCCTTACCTGAATGGTCAGAGTCGAAAGGGTAAAAAACATGGTTTCAAGAGCACTACTAAAAATTTTTTAGGAACCTGTACCAGTTGGCATGACTAAGCAAGTTGTAACACTTCTATTGTATCATAAGTATAAGCAGAAAGAAAAGCCATAAAAGTCTGATGATCTATTTCATTTATTTCACATTAAAAAAAAAAAGAAAGGCAGGTAAAATAAAAGACATTTGAGAGAACCTGCTCTCTTCAAAAGCATTCCCATTCTCAGAGAAAAAGCCCCTGAGCTGCTATCTTTTTCTCTCTCTCTCTCCAACCTTTTTATATTCCCATCTTCTTGTTCAAAAACAATGAAAAAGTTACTCACAAACTCTGTTTCTGCCAAATTTTAATTAAAAGTGACAATATAAGAAAAGTAACACCATGTACACACTATTATTTTTTGAACAACACCGGATGAAAAAGCAACAGTCCTGCTCTGCTCTCCCCACCAGTTTCATAAGGGCATGTTTCTATTTAAAGAATAAGCTTGCATAAAAGCTCTGTTTTGTAACATTTTAGAAATAACAAGCTAAGGACAGTAATAAAGAAAAACACAACATATTACCAAGCTGAGGCATAACACTGATTCTAAAAATGTGGAGCTTGTGTTTTCTTTAAGAAACCTGTCTACAAATATTTCAGCTACAGCTACTCTGGTTTGCATTTTAGCTAAGAGGTGAAGTTATGAACAGTCTGCAGTGTTGATTATATCAAGAGACATGAACATAACAATTTAGGATTTTTTGTTTGTTTTTACATTAAATAGATTCTAAAATAAAAGCATGAAGAAAAGGCTTCACTAAGAACACATCAGAAAAAAACAGATGACACAAATAAGATTAGAGTATTATATAATGTATGCTGTAAGTATATTATGAGAATGCATTCAGGTCAAGAACATTCAGCTAGCCTTATCTTGCCTTTAAAGACACTGCTGTGCTCTGACTTGCTTGAACTGCTTTGCTCCTTTTCCAAGGCTTCAGAAATTCTTGAAGATATGAACAGTATCACAACAGCATTCACAACTATGCAGACAGTATGTTTCTAAATGTTTGCATATCCTCAGTTCTAAGAGCTCAGAGAAAAATTAAACTCTCAACCAGAGGTTAGCAATGCTAGAGTTATTCTAGCATCAGAACTATTAGAATAACATTCAATAGCAAAAACTTTGCTGCTTGGCTTGGAGGTATCTGTGTTCCCAGAGCAAGGAGCTAATTAAAACAGCAGTCAACAAGTGGATCTACTCAGACACACTAATCCACATTGACTAAGTGGACAAATGCAAAGAAAATGGAAAGACAAATGCACTCAGCAGCTGAAACTGTTGAGAAACAGAACATCATAAGCACACTTACCCAAGTTTAAGAAGTCTGAGCTGGAAGAAGGTGGAAGTGGCATGGAAGTAAACGTATTTGATGTAGATGTTGAATTTGAATTAAGGAAATCTCCAAAGAGGTCTGGACCAGACAGGGTTGGATTCTCAGGACTTGATGACATTGTGAATGGATCAAAAGGATCAACTAAGAGAAGCAAAAAAAAATATGATAAGTTTTAGCATTAATGAAACTGCAGGAAGAAAAAACCGTGTGGTCACAGACAAAAAGCATAGTTTCTGTTGGTAAGTGAACCAGACTTCTGAGAGTTTTCTTATGGCAAAAAGTCTGCACTGTACCTGTCCCCCAACACTGCCACTTTAATGCTCTCAAAGCAATTTCAGTTATACACAACTCTCTTCAAACATAAATCCTTATCAAGGTTACATCCAACTGCATCATTAGTTTCCTTCATGTAAGGTACTATAAGCTTGAGTGATGAGTTACATATAAACAAAAAAGTTGCAGTTGTTGTTTCTACAGCTGTCTACAGTGCCCAAACTGCCAAGGAATCCAAACAAAAGACACTACACTACTGAAGTCAAATAAAACATTCATACTACCATTCTGACTCATAGGCATTGGTGAACCTGGGGCTGAAAACGCGTCAACTCAAGAAGGAAAGCCAGCAGAGGCAGGGCTTGGAGCAGGTCTTTACTGACCACAGTGGAGAAAACTAACTGGAGGGGTATTTATAGTCAGCATGGGCTAACATGTGACAGTCAGCTGGAAGCAAGGCTCCAGATCCTCCCCTTCCTGCTGCCCTCCAGGTTCAAATCCTCAAAAGCCCAGGGACTCTTGCCAGGTTCAGACAAAAGCTAAAGAGGAAGCATAATCCTGCTGTGGTGCTCTGGTGCCCACTGCATCATGCGGCGACGGTCACATTGCACAGCCATCAGCAGCACTTCCAATACACCCTGGATTCTCATTTACACGAGTTCTAACATCGGAGCAGTGCATGTGTACAGAAAGTCAGGTGCAAGGGCGATGCTAAAACTGAAATGCTGCAGGTACCAGGCATTCTTACAGGCCTCCTGAGCCAGTTCAGAGCAAGACACACATGTAACTACTGCTCAAGATTTTGGGGCAGTTTACACGGAAAATTAAAGAAAGTTAAGGAGATAGAGGATCTCTTCTACAGACTTCCACCCAGGTAAAAAAAAATAAGATTGATTTCCACAGTGACTGTAGTGGCAAAGAATTCAACAGAATTAATTCAGAAGATAGAAATACTAGAAATCACATAAATACTCCAAATAACCATGCTGCTATACTTGGATTAAAGCTCTTGATTCAAGTGCATTATCTCCATACCAAAAAACTACTATGTCCTGATTATTTGACTAATACTCTTCAAAATCTTTTTGTAGTATTACAGGCAGAACTGCTATGCCCCAAGTTTAATGCATTTCTCAGAAGAACAGAACATCTGAATTAGAACACCTTACTTAAAAGGCCAGTAAAGGTAGCAGAATAACATTCTCTTTCAAGAAAAAATCTGACAGCACCATCAGTAAGAGCAGTAAGGAAATAGCCTTCCACAGCAGTATTATCCCACTGGTCTAAATAGTAATCTACAGGATTTCCAGTTACCTAGAAGACTTATCTGATTAACACATCCAAAAATCCCACACAGCCATTTGATCTACACACCACATCTAATACTATTTCATTCTATGTAAAACACAAGAATACAGTAAGTCTTTACAATTTTATATTTTAGCAAGAGAAGTTTCTACACCTGGATCTAAAAAGATCAAGCATAGATAGCACTTGCACAGAAAACCTACTGATTTTAAGTGCAGTGAATTTTCTTGAAACTCAACACCTGACTTTTGCTTGTCTATGCAGCCAGAGTATATTCACAATAGATAACAAAACACATAAAAAAGCTTTGTCATTATCAAACCTATTCCTCAAAAAATATGAGAATTGCCTCTTTATGAGCCTGAAGCTCATGAACAGTTCAACACATAGCAATTGGTCTGTTTCATGCAGTAAACAAGCTGTTCTATTCATGGACTTGCTATGGATAAACATGTCTTCACGTCTATATGACATGACATTATGCTCGTTTTGAGTACAATGCAAAATCTTTTTAAAAGTTAGCCAGACTAAGAGTTCTGATGTTGGATTTACATACCAGAAGACACGGCTGCTGCTGATGACATAGTCTGTGCAGTAACTGGATGCTGAGACTGACTGCTGAAGAAGAAATCTGTTCCTTCTCCAAGGAGATCTCCAGTGGACTCTTCAGAAATCTGTGATGTGCTACCCACAAAAAGGTTGTTTAACAAGTCTGCATTGCTTGGTGAGGAGTTTGTTTCTGGGACAGGTTGTTTCTGTTCTGGTGATACATCAGAGTCTAGTCCCAGTAAATCTACATTCTCTTCAGAAAAAGGTTTTTGTAACTGGGTAGATGGTGTTTCAAAATTGGCTTCAAAAAGCAACTCTCCCTCTGGAGTAGTAGAGTCTTTTTCATCAGTGACTGCCTTTTCTTCTCCTGAAAACGTAGGGAATTCCTCATCAGAAGGATCGCTCTCCTCCCTGTCATCAGTTAGATGAACATGATCGTTTCTGGACGAGTTGTCCTCTACTCCGCTTTCTGAACTTTTCCCATCTTGAATGAAAAGATAACAATTTTAGATTACCAGGATTCTCCTGCCAACTAAGAGAAGATAAGCTTGATGTGGTGAGATCATGAGATATCAAGCTTTGACTGTCAAAGCTTATCACACAAGAGGTAAGGAGGAAAACTAACCCTTGCCTATTACATCTGCATAAAGCAGGGAAACGAGCAGCTCAATTCAGCTCATCCACTCTACCAGTTAAGATTAGCCAAGTAAACAGAGGAATTCTCCAGGTAAAAGCTTCTCAAGCATATGCATGAAAAACTGACACATATTTTAATAATATACTGATTTAATCATCAAACCGAAAAATAAGCCACTATGGAAGGGAAACTATTATGAATACTTTCACAATGAGACTAATTTGGACATGCTCCTCAATATGTTATTCCATGTATGGCTTAAAAACCTTCATTTACTGCTGCTCTGATACCAACTGCAACATATGCAGTTACTGCAAATTCTCCATTATAGGCGAGTCCATTTTTTCTTCAGTCCATATATACTATTCTGGACGCTTTGAGACTTGCTGTCTAGCTTGCTGTCTCCATTTCACCACCAGCCCTAGATGGAACTCCTGGAATGCGAGGTTTCCTTGCAGACCTTTACAGTTGGCATTCTTGCAAAAACAGGAAGGATCTGCTGAGCATGTACAGGTTTGTACAATACAGTTAAAGGAAGAATTGCAGAATCCCTTGGAAGGCATATAGTACAGCATAAAAAAAATAAAACAAAAAAGCTGTATTTCATTGAAGGTACCTACCTTTCCAGTCCAGGGAATGGAAAAAGTTATTTGCATCGGTACTGCTGCTGTGTGGAGATTCTGTCTCGGTGGGTATGCTTTCTGAAGACTGCTCCAGTTGGGATGCTTCTGCTTCATACTGTGCAGTTGAACCTGGCTGTCTAGGTAGTTCTGGTTTCCCTAGATGAGATGAGATTTTAATCAGGATCCTTACAGAGGTACTTGTAATAAACTCAAGCCTGGTCAACCCTGATTGTACAATACCTGGTGTCTGACTTGCATACTCAAACTACGATAGCAAAATATGTCTCAAAGCAGCTATTACTCTGCAAAGGCAGAATACTTTAGGTTTAAATTTAGGATTAAATATTTCAACATAAAAGCCTACCTCTAGCTGCAACGTGAAGAAAGCACACTGAAAACAAAACCCTCTGGTGTTCTACCTACATTTTTAAGAGACTTTAACCAATTATTTTAGTTACATCTAATCATTAACAATCCATTTGTATCATGCTTTCTAAATCAGGCAAGACCTGTGAACAAATTCTGTGGTAATTTAAGCGAAGGAACAGAACATGAGAAAAGCGTGAAAGCAGCTACAGAAAGTACATTGAGCACATGGCCAGAAAACATAAGAGCTGTTAACAAACATTTCAAAAGAGTTGAGTAATATACCATGTGTGCACTTAACCACCCTCCATATCTCTTTTTTGACATGCAGATATTAAGTGACTCTTGTATTAAGTTGTATTGAGTTTTTACCTGACGCTATATCATCTCCCAGAAAGGAAGATTTCATCATTGCAAGATAAAGACTCCCTGAATTTCTGAGGGCTCATTAATTTGGAAAGAACAGGATGCATGCCTGTGAGAAAGGTCTTGGTCTAAGTTTAATCATCAGACTGGTAAACCTCATTGTATACTGCCTACTTGTAACTTACAGAAACACTTTTAAAAATACTTTTCAAGAGTAAAAAAGAGTATGTCTAATGAAATAATGTGAGATTATCTAATAAATAATGTAGGAGTTCTTTTAAGAGAGTTTTATAAAATACGTTCATAGGCTGGGGAAGCAAGTGCTATTGTCTCCTCTCAACTTTTGTCAAGATATGTTTTGAATGGAATATGAAGCTCTTGCATTTCTAAATTGTCAAGAGAGTGACTTATTTAAATGAAAGATGAAGAAAGTTAATATTGAAGATCCTTATTTTCAATGAAACACCTTGACTTTAGTGAGCTGTGTTCATAACTATTTTTGAATATAAGCTAAAAAGAGCATGTCTTAAGCCACAGTGCAAGCATAGGAGAACATATCCTGCTAAAAAGATAAGACAGCAGCAGCTATCTATCCAGTACCAAGAGAAATGGAACCAAAACACATGGAACTAAAAAAATAAGAGTAAGATCTCATGTATGGTGCCAGGAAGCAGCCGCCACAGTATCATGCATTTTAAATCAGATTCACAGAGTCTTAATGAAAATGTAAAAAAAAAAAAAAAAAAAACGAAATATTGAGCAAAAATATTGGAAATTAATTGGAATTAATAGACCATCCACAGATGAAAAATGGAACATCTCATAGTAAGAAATTCCCCTAGGCTATACAAGGTACAGATGAGAAATTAACAGCAAAATTAATTAGCTATACATAAGAAAAATCTTAATAAAAACCATTTTCAGTTAAGACTGTTTTGAAAATGCTGTGCTTCAAGTGAAGTGATAATGCCTATTTAGCTGGAGAATTCTCTCAAAACATCTCTCTACAAATCCTGGTTTTCAGTTTCATTTGTTACAATCCCCCCAAAAAAGAATTTCATGAGCTTCAAAAGAGGCAAATGTAACAGCTGAGATAAAACAACAATCTAATAATCCATTACTGAGCAATAACTTATATTCCTTTATACAATGAAAGTTTTTGAAGTGATATTTACAAAAAAACACTTTTGTAGTCTGACATTGGAAGAAATGTCAGAAAACAAAACATACCCTAAAACACTAAATGCATTAGAAGCTATGTTCTTCAGAGTTTTAAAGAAATTCAATACCAAATTTTGATAAAATTTCTTGTTGCTCCTCCCGAGTGGAGAAAAGGATCTTGGGATTCAGCCCCTTTATGTTCATGTTATCCCATGGTGGCTGTTCACAGCTGGGTCTATCTCTGGGCTCCACCTCGACTTCCAGATTGACTTGAAATAAATCAGGATATTTTTCTTGAATGTCACAAGCATCCAGATCATATCTGCAGAGACAGATACAAGTAGACTGAAACTAATGCCCAACTAGATTAAATTTATGGCAATCCAAGACAGAACTTTAATGGAATTATGCTAAGGCTTAAGACATGCCATATTTGTTAACTTTCTAAAAAATAAACAGGTGGTATTCAAATAAAGAAAGTATTCTTGTATTGTGAAAAAAAATGTTCAAAGCAACAAGAATCATCTTATTGCAATGGACTTTCCAATTTATAAGCTTGAAAAGTTTGAAAGAAAACTTCCAAGCCATCTACAAAATGGCATCAACATACTTAGCAAACTTCACTGTGGTGGCATTTCGGGGCACAAAACCTGTGTGGAACTGAATCTGGAACATCTTCATAGAAGTCATCTGTTGGAAACAAGAAATACAGCAGAAGACCATGACTCACTAGACATCGTGCTTTGCTTTTGATACAAAATATTTTCAATGCTTAGGTATGTTAAAAATGTTCATTTTCCTATCATTTTAACTTAACTCCTCACTTATATCTTGAGTATAGTTTGAATGCAGATTAGGACAGAATGTAACAAAACTAAAATGTAATATTCACATTGGTTTGTAATGCCTTTGTGGAAATATTCTCCACAAACCAAATGGCCTTGAATCAGACACCTTTTTCATCTTAACTTCAAGGACAGGCTGTTTAGTAGTTTCAGATCCTACTTTAAGGATGGAACTCCATGACCTGTCAATTACACTTTTCAGAACAACGAAGTGGGAAAGCTCAACTTGTTCAAAAGCCATCTACACTAGATAAGCACTAGATCCAAGGAAAAAAAAAGACCTGTCATAGATAATTGGTTCTATTCAGTACAGGAAGAAAGGACCTCAAGGACTTATTTTTAAAAGGACACTGAAAGATGTGCAAGGACTACCCTTTTTTTTTTTTTTCCTGCCTATGCAACATCAACTCATGCACTCGGCTCCAACAGAATTAATGGTTCTCCAAACTGATTAATCATAACAAACTTTCCCAACTCTTCTACCAACAAAAAATTTACCTTTCCATGCCTCATCAACATGATAGATAACTCAGAAAATGCCACTGCATGAGATGCAAACCTATGCAGGGAACAAAAGTTTTATATGGAATGTTCCTCTGAGTCCTTGCAATGCACATAATAAGGTGACCAGTAAGCAGGACCTAGTAAAATAAGGTTCTGAAAGCTTTCATTGTAAGTGCCAAGTGACAGTACAGTTGCTTTCTTACAGACAACCCAGCATACATGCAGAACAACTCTGAAGGCTACAAAGCACTAAGCTGGATACCATATCCAACAGTTTCCCCTTCACAGTTAAGCTTCCTGAAGGACAAATAATCAGAAATGAGGGTGATGAGAATGAAGTTATTTACATAGGTGACTAAGGTGCATGTTCTTTAAACCAAGCACAGCCCTGCTTGAACCAGCCTTATTCAGACCTTCATGCCCTCTACATTAAGTCTAACTACATTAAGTCTCTATCAAACCACAGCCTTTGGACCTTGAAGCTTATTTTGATGCCACCACCAGCACATCTCAGTTGGTACTCTGCTGTGCCATTTCAACAGCAGAGGATAGACAGTGTCTGGGAAATTCTCAAAGCACCTTGCACCAAGCCATTTGCAAACGCTTGCACTGATTTGAGTTTAGCAGTTTAAAATCTTGTCTTCCTCAAGACTTGCATCTTGTCCTGAAGCCAGCCTTACTGGCTCGTTGAGAAGTGAGGTGAACAGCCTAGTAAGCTTTCCCTGTCAAGAAGTCTGAACTAGTATATAAAATCCCTATGCTTCACATGCCCTCAAGGGCATAAACTTTTTAAGCAGTTTTGCTTTAACTGCATAACTTTCAGCACATTTTGAAGACAATTGCTTTTTTGTCCCCTGAAGGCTAGGGAATCTCGTAACCTTCCACTCACTAAAAGTAACTTTCACTGTTTTGTCAGGATTTGAAGAATGAGACAAAATCAACTGTACCTCTGCTACCGTACTGAAGATATCCATGGCAACCAAAAATCTTTGTCATGTACTATGGGAAATTTCAAGTTTTCTCTACCAACATTTGTTGGTAGGGAAAACCACTCCCAAATCCACCTCTGCTTGGCTTCTATCAAAAGCAGGCATCAGTTCTCTCATGTCTCCTCACTCATGATGGGATTCCCACAGGCTACCAGCAAAGAGAATTAAGACTCCAACAGCAGGAAGGAAAGTTTTTCTTTCCAGTATGTGAATCACTTCATCTCCTCTGGCATTTACCTGAGCAAAGACTTCACTCCTCAGAGTATGCCTGACTCAGAAAGATCTACTGAATTTCCTGCTGCAACCACTTGGTCAAGCCAACTTTGCCACAAGCCTGAGACACGGAATCAAAAACCAGCTTCTCTGATCAGTCTTCCTCTGTTTTGAAGTGCATCTGAATACTTGAACACACTATTAAATCAATTTCTTTAATCCCCTGATACGCAAGGTATCTCCTAGACAAATCAAATCCTCTCTCAGATTAACTGCAGGCAAATGATAGGCATTCACCTATGGTGATGGTGGTATCTCCATTAGAGTTTGACAGAATACTTCAGGGAGCAGTTTTGACAAATTAAAGTATACTGAATATTGTTTCAAAGCTGCAAACCAAGATCACCACAAAACACTGTTCAGTAGGCAGCTGATAAAGTTCTACTCTGTTCCAGATAATGAATAAATAACAGAGAAATCAAATGTTCAACCCTATCAGCAAAACAGACATTAAGAATACACAAAAACAAGGAAACCTTGTTTCTGCCCAGTTGCACACTTCCTTTGCTGCTGACCTTGATCCATGCACTAGTTATTTTGTGTGAAGAATCACTTCACTGAGCTTCCAGTTTAAAATGTGCTAAAATAGTTGGGTTACAGCACTCTCCAGGGACATCAGGCCTGGAATTTTTGCAACATGACAAGACTTGATATTTGCTTTCCACATATGTGTTAGTAATAGTAGATGTGTATGAATGTTTGTTTTAGCAAAATGTGTGGAAACTGCAAGAACCTCTGGATCAAATTTTACAATGCTCAGAGCTACCCTAAAGTTTAAGGCAAGATTTAGGAAAATCCCTTTCCATCTTCTACACAGAATTCCAGGTTTCATCTGGCCTGCACTACAGAGAAAGCTATGCTTATTTTTAGAAATTTGAAGAGAAGCTTTGTAAGTTATTTTAAGTTTTACAGAACATTAGCCTTCTTAGCTGTAACAAACAAACAAAAAAATGAAACAAAACAAAAAAAACCACTCTCCTTAGGAAAATGAAGGCCAGTAAGGAAACAGACTATAAGAAAAACCCACAACCCAGTTCTGGAAATAGGGTACAATACCACAAGCAGTTTCCTAGCCTGCTTTGTACAGGGAGTCCTTAGAATCCCGCTTTTCCCTTGAGCAATGTTTCCTCTCTAGCTGTGGTTTGTGTATACAGAACACACACAATACAGAAATACTTACCGGTTATGCAACTTAAATTCACTTGCTGGAGAAATGGGTTAGAAGCTTTCCAAGCAAAAATAACCAACACTACTGAAGTAATTCCAGAAATGCTTGCCAAAACACTTATGTACAGAGCACTAAGAGAATGTGCACAAACATATCAGGCCTGGAAAAGCTGAATTTGAGCATATGAAAGTCTCAGATATTTACCTGAGCAAACAGGAGTAAGTAAAGCCACATACTTTGTGAGATCACAAACGCAGTTACATTCAAATTTCAGCAATAGCCTGCAAAAAGGTTTTGTTAATTTTATCATTACCTTGGCCTGCAGTCTGCCTCCTAGTGTTGACCTGGCATGATATATCACAATGAGAACATCCCCTTGGACTGTTATACCTAGTGGAATTATTGCTTTGCCATCTTCAATTTTGAACTCCCTGGGGAAAAAAAAAAAAGGAAAAAATCCACAGTTAGAGAAATTTGGTGATTTTTTTTTTTTTTTTTGTATTAGGTTTTAATTAGGTTACTTGGTTAGTTAGTTTCTCCAAACCATCCAGTACTTTAAGGATAAAAAATGAAAAGAAACTTTCTATCACACTTTCCCTCCCTATGAAAATCCTGAACCACTAGCAATATTTGCAACTCTAGCATTGTACCGAACAGCAGTACCACACAGTAACTGAAAGATGGTTAACTTCCTTCATTACAGCCACAGTGGCTGGAGGATCTTTACCCTTTCTATGACTGAAACACAAAATTCAGTTTCAGCAGTGTCGATACCAACCGAACAACATGAACCTTCATAGTTTACACCACATGGCCTAAAAGGAAAGTCTTGTTCATGTCTCCCATGCCCACAGTACAACATTCCTCCCCTCTATAATCCGTACTTTGCTGGGGACGTGCCCAACAGCTGTTACAGCTGCTTTGTCTATTGCCTGTGGGTTATCATTCAGAATGAGCCCAGTCAACCACTGGACTTAGGAGCTTCTCCATGCAGAGTAAAAATCAAAGAGGCTTTGCTTTCTGCTCAACTGGCACATCAAAAAACATGCTTTCTCCCCACGTTAAGCACTCTGTTGTTTATTTAAGTTGCTGCAGAAGAACTCAACATGCCTTTCCAGAGCAAATCACAGCCTGTACTTACTTCATTTTGTCATATTCCTGGGAGGTAGTGGTCACTCTCTCGTCCCCCACATAAACCTCACAGAAAGGCCTGCAGCCATTGCGCTGCTTACTGAAGAGTGGAACTGGAGTCATGGTGATTGATTTGACCAAGATGGGTTTGCTGTGAGGAATAATGGGCTCTTCAGCCATCATGTCGCACATATATTCAATGTACCTGTCAAAACCAGAGGCACACATTTCAACAGCGACAAAAACTGTAAAAATGGGTGAACACGTAGCAATTATTTTTTTTAATATCCAGCCACTGAGCAGTAGCACACAGTAACAATAAACAGTGGGGACACTGAACAGCACTTCTGAGAAACTGACGTCTTAAAATCTGATAGAAATGCACAAAGGAGAATGAGGTAGGAACACTGAAAAATACTTAGGATTCCTAACCAGTCTCTATTTCAAGTCCAGCAATGGCATTTTTGCCTAAAATGCCATTCATTAAACGACAACAGAAGAACACACTCTCCACAAGACTGGATAGAATACTGTGTATGAACTCACCTGCACTTGCATTCCACCCTCCAGAGTCAACTCCAGTCTTTGCCTTATTTCCTTAGTATTGCATTTACTTATTACACAAACTAGCTATTCTTTCCAAAAGCCCTACCACATCCGCTAGGAAAATTATTTTATTTCATTTTACACATTCTGGACCCAGGTTACACATCATTCCTGATGCTAGTAATCCAAATCCTCCAATAGGCATTCTACAGGTTGGGCTAGCTTCAATTTATCTTCATAAATTTGAGTTACCCAGGAAAAGCACCATTAAGTATGTTCAAAGGGAGTTGTGCAACAGCATATCCTGTCATTCACAATTCACTAATCCTTATTTCTCTTCTTTTCTGAATCTTTCTGCAGAAACACCTTTATCAGTATCACTAGTAACAAAGAGTTCATTCTTACAAGATCTAGCAGAGTACATCAAGTTAAATAATCAGCTTAAAACACTTCGGCACATACAAAAGTCATCTCCGCATGCACTTAAAAAACCAAGATATTCTCTTACACACTACACAAGAATTATAATTTTACTCTTTCCATACAACTCTTTCCACAGACTGATACCATACCTTTTATGAGAAGGCCAGATGCCAGGAGGACAGCGTTTCATACTGAACATATAAACTGCAGCCTCAGCAGTTGTGAAGAGACGACAGAAACATAGAAAAGAACAAACTACAACAGCAGATGCTGCTCTTCCATCCTACAAAAAAATTGCAGTTTTGTTATTAAACCTAGTGGAAAAAAGCATTACAGAAGTTATGGAAGAACACGCTACCTACATTATGTAATGAAGTCCAAACCCTAGTGCAATCAGATTTGAAATTTGAACGTGAAAAGTTTTCATTTTATCTCAAAAAGATATGAAAGATGGTAAAATTTATCTGCTTGCTCAAATGTCAATAATTACTTTAGCTCAGCATGGTCCAAAGTGTTCAATTTGATTCACTACCTTACTATCACTAATATACACTTTCAAACTGCTGCCTGAGGCTCAATTTCTTTGCTTTCCTTTGCCAACTGACAGGTTTCTGCTGCAAGACAAGTCCTAAGATGCAAAAGAATCGAGCCACACTGAACATTATGTGGATCTTGTGACCAAAGCTGCATTAGACTAACAGATAGCATCAAATCTACAGCTCTACTCTGCAGATTCAGAAGTCAGGAGATAAAGGTTGAGAGGACTTTCCTCAAACTTTCTTTGTTAGCCAACAAATAACTTGATTTTTTTTTCCTGTAGTCATTTAACATATCAATACGCACTATGTGTCAGGAAATAGGGAAGAAGGAAATGTTCTTCTCAGCTTGTTTTAATAGTAATTTCCTTCAGAGCAAAGCACTAAAAAAGTCTGCCGCCACTGGAGCAGCCAGACCTTTAAAGAGTAAATCAGCAAATACTTATTACTGTTAGCATAAACCCTAATTATGCAACCCTAACTTGAAATAATATTGAAGTTGGCCCTGCTCTGAGCATCAGGCCCTAATGATCTCCAGAAGTCCCTTCTAACCTGAACTATTCTGTTTCTAGAAACTTGATCCTGTCTTCCAATTAATATCACACAGATGGAAAAAAAAAACAGCCCCTACCCTGAGTAGCCTGGTCTTTAGGACAAGACATTGATGAGTACAAGGAAAGAATAAAACACTGACCAGCATGACAAGAAGAGACTTAAGGACACTAGCGTTACAAAGACATTTCCAAATAAAAGCACCACATAGAAGAGAGAAAAATCATTGTAGAGTTCAACTAGAAAATCACAGCAAATCCTTTGCGACTGTTCATGATATCAGAGGAAGATATTTCAGATGTTGAAGGCTTCAGCCAGAACTACAGCATCCAAAATGTTAAGAATATTACAAACTAGCAAACAAATCCAATGACAGAAAATTGCATTTCAGAAAGATGCTTGATTCAACAATGGAAGCAAAAGAAATTACTGCAAGGACAGAAGGCAAAAGAACAGGAATTTCATTTTTTCCTTTGATGTTTTTAGAGGATGGATGGATTTTGGATATTAAAAATAAACAATCTTCAGGCCAGAACAATCACTACGGCAGCAATAAAAAACAACTAGATAAAAATGAGAAACAGACAGATTTTAAGCATATACTTTTTCCCTGAAAAGGTAGATGAAATCTGTGGCTGACCAGTTTTGAAAAGAAATGACCTGCACAAAGGAAATTAAATGAACCCAGATTATTAGCTACACAAGGAAAAGCTATATTCAAAGGTCAAATTAAGGTATCTGAAGCCATTTTAAGGTATCTGAAAGCATTTTTAAATAGCTGCCATTTATCAAGTTTAAGTTTTGACATTAAGTTCCAACAAAATTATCCTATACTGGTATCTTCCATGACAAATCAATACAAGTTTTTCAGGAAGGATCATGACCTCAAATAATTGTGCAGAGCAAAATATTATTGCAGGTGTCCAGAAGCTACTCTAGGAGCCAGACATCTGGAATATATGCTTAAATATCAGCAAAAACTCAGGATAGCAATTTTGGATAATCCAGAAAGCCTTAACTGTAGCTGAAGTGGGGCAGGACTTCGCCATTTAGGATTTAACAGGTTGTTTAAAAGTAGTTTATGCATCAAATTATTACGTAAACACTTAGCAATTCACTCCATTAATATAAACTTCAATAACAATCACAAGATCAGGAATCCCTTATCTGCTTCCACATCCCTGCTCCTCACACTAAATTTGTTCTTTAGAGGAAGAAACTCCCAAGTCATATCTGCTACCTCAGATACTAACTAAAACATACTCTCCCTCTCTCCCCACCAGTTAAAAGCTACTATTTTCAACAGATTTTAAATCCAAAGTAACTTCCAGCTAGACAAATCCGAAATATTGCAAATATAATTCACCTCTAGTAAAACTGGTGTATGCCCTTTGCTCACATCTGTTTGCACATGTGCATATGCACAGGCTACACAGACAGAAATTGATTACTTGGAGAAAAGTGATGCAAACTGCTTTTCTAAACACATTAGCATGCAATAGTCTCCAAGTCCCGGCACAGAAAATAATACTAATACTCAAACTGAGTGGTCACTAGCATCTTTATTGATGATCTAAAGATGGATTGAGCAAAGCACTTCAGAATTAAACCAATTACTTACAAGGCAGTGCACAATGCAAACGTTTTTCTGATCTTGTTTCAACCATGAATGCATGTTCTTGCAGATGCTATAAAGATTCTGAAGGTTGGGTGCTCGTCTTGCTGGCCAGCCACACTCTGAAACCTGTAGGGAGAAACCCTAATGAGAAACTTACACGTTCATACGCTACAAACTGCATATGGAATATGGAATTTTACACTTCAAGATCAACCTCAGGAGTAAATGAAAAATATGTTCAAGAAAAGAAGTCTCACAGAGTGTAATAATCTCTATATTAGCATCAAGCATAACTGATTAGTCCTGTTTTTAGTTTGCTGCACTGTGAATATCAGCAACTCAAATCTAATCTTTTCTTGTTTTTCAAGAAAATGGTTTCAGCTAGTGAAACAAAACAGCTTTCAGCTTAATTCATACACATGAATTTAAAAAAAAGTTTTATTTGTCCTTTATTCAAAGAAAAGTTTTACTAGTTGAATAATATTCTTTCTGCAATTAATGTTACAAATGCCTAGGAAATAAGAAACCTCTCGGTTAGGATAGCTATGTTCTTCAAACTGGCTGCTGCATAAGGATGCAATAAATTAAAGCTGATTCTAGAGTTTTTGAAATTCAGAGCGGATGTTTTGCTAGTCTCAAAGAGCAGGTCTGTTTTTCTTTCTAACCAGGATCACAACTGTGGAATGTTTTGCTACGAACAGCACACTTTCTTACCCAGACTGAGGGGTACAAGGGTTGTTCTAAACTTAATTACCTGAACTGACTTAAGTGTCACTCCCATTCTAAATTAGATTACCATCATGGCAAGACCAAAAAAGGTGCAAGAGAGTTTGACAATTTTCTATAGTTACTTGCTGCTTCCTAGTACATACAATTGCAGGGTTTTTGTTGTTTGGAGGGTTTTTTTTTTTTCCCCCCAACTACAAATGCTTCTCCTTACTGGAAATTTACGTCAAACACTATTATTAGTAAAAAATATGCACAGTCAACAGTAACCAAATAAAAACAAGCAGCCACTTTCTTGTTCACCCAGGCTTTCAGTGTGGAGCTGAGCAATTCAGTATTATATCATCAATGAAGGATTCCTACAGCAGCACTACAGCTATAAACTAGAAATCTCTCTGGAAAACAGGCATATTCAAAAAGCAAGGAGAAATTTTTTTTTTTACAGTTTGCATTCTGCTCATTCTGCTCAGACTAGCTTCGCCATACAGTGTATACCACAAATTGTTAGTCTTTGGCTGTGCTGTAAACCCAAATCATTCTGGTCTACCAGTGCAGTTTATTAGCAGAATCTATACTGCCAAGTTCACTTAAGACAGTGCATAACAGAAATGAATAATCTACCACTTCCTGGATGCCTACTTGTCAGAATGTCATCGTTTTAAGTACTCCAGAAGCCATTTTCCTTGATCAACTTTATAAGGCTTGTCTTTTGCAGACAACAGAGAAATACTAGGCTTCCTTAGCTTCCTACGCTGCTGCTCTCACTTGGTATAAGTCACTAAAAAATTAAGTAGAAGTCAGTGAGTATTGCTCATTTGGTCTATCTGGATTTCAAACATGCACTGGGAAAAATTTTCACCACATACACAGTAAGAGCTTATTTTCCAAATCCTTGTTAAAGTAAGTAAAATCCTTGGTTTGCAAAAGACCATGATGTTTTGTAGAAATTTTCGGAACACTCCAGCCACTAACAGTGGCAGGAGCCTACAGTGGTTTTGACAGTTATCTCCTATTACCTTTCAGCTACAGCAAAAGTAAACAAAGATCACAAAACAAAACACCCTGAAAGACCAGAAGAACTTCAGATCAGTGGCAGATATATAGTACTGTTAATATTGCTTCGTGGTGTGCCAATCAACAGGAATATCACGGCACTGGCACCGCTGCCTTGCATGTAGATAAGAGCTGTCCCCAGGGTAAACATTTTTCCAGCCAGAATTTAAAGAGTCACTAATTAGGGCTGAGCAATAACCTGGGTCTGAGCAATTATTGCAAAAAGCAATAATCTGTTTCTTAAAAAATAAAATCACACATCACCTGCAGTGAGCATTTGAGAACTCTAGGTCTGAAGAGCACAATTGAAGGGTGTTTTTTACTTCAGAATAATCACAGGTCCCCTGCATGATTAAATTTTGCCTCCATGTTCTCTGGCAACTAGAATAAGCCCTGATATTGAAACAATTTCAGGGAAAAAAAAAAAAGCTTAGCACCTCTACTCAAAGAGGCAGCAATTGGTTTTCAGCTGTCTTTTCCATGAGTTTGAGAAGAAGCCAAGAAAAGGTAAACAACTGAATAGAAAGCCATTGAATAGAAATTGAAAGCACTGAATAGAATACATTAAACACTTTCTGAATGTGGAATATTAATTTTTTAAATTGAGCTGCATTTTTTTTAATTTAAATCTGAAATAGGCAAGAACATTCTGGGTTCCTACAGATTTTATCACAGACATCACTAGCCTAAAAAGCAGCCCTTAATCAGTAAGATTAAGATCTGCCTTTAATATGGCAAAAAGTTCGACTGTAAGCAAACACAAGTAGAATATAGGTTACTCTTTCACCTTATGTTTATAATTGCTCTTTCCTGAACTTTGATTGTGCAACCTACTTTAACTAATCACACAACAGGAAACTGGAGTTGTAATCAAGATATTATGTTGAAAGACCATTTATAGGAAAGCACACAAAAGCTATACACACCCTATTATGGAATCTTGAAGGCCTGTATGTTCTTGGAGAAAGATTGTACACAGCATAGTGCCCAGGGTGTTTAGAGTCTAAACATAACCGCACATCTTCTATGTTATTTTTGATGGCAGATTCTACACCTTCGGCTGGAAAGGACATCACTGAAAACAGAACATCACCAGGTAAGGTATTCACTTCTCATGTATTAAAAACCATCAGAAATTATTTGTAAGACAGACATGCTACCATACCAGCAATTCTGGAAGTGATGTATGATATATCCAAGTCTCCTTTTGCATAACTGAAATAAGACACATTGGAATTAATATACGGAAATATAACTGTGCAGCCGCAAATCCAAATCCCAGGTCTCAGGCTCCACCCACCACTTTTATTTCTTCCATCTGAGAACTGCTCCTCACAGCTCAGGGTAGTAGCAAAAGGAAACTCTGAAAAAACACTCATCTGTATTTGTTGCCACAAAACTATCTTTCAGGATGTTAAACATGTGCCTTAAATATTCAAATCATTGAAATAGTTCCTATTCAAAGATTCATTAAAATATGAAAATAAGTGGCTTCTCAGGCAACCTGAAGACATTCCATTTCTGGGAAGGTATCAGTTTTAAAGTCTAGTAAGAATACATTAGCACTTTTTAACAGGAGTATGCCTTAATGCTTAAAAATGAAGATTTGTTGAAAGATTACATATGAACCAGGTTAGCTCTCCCACACTATTATTTGGGTCAGTTAGCCATGCATCTCATTTTCTTAATGCAATAGAGGGTATTTCCATCTCTTTCCTCATTTAAATCATCCCCCTGAAAACTCGCTTGCAAAATGCCCATAATTAAGGCCTTAACCACTATTTTTAATATTTCTATCCATACAGTCTTTAAAGGGTAGTCTTTCTGAAGGGTAAACTCCTCCCAGTGACCTTTTTTTCCTATGCTGCCTACTACATAGCAGGACAGAAAAGCTTGAAGAGTCAAAGCAAGACAACACCCTTGAGCATGATCACACAGGTCTGATCACACTGGCAAAACCAGAACAAGCATCACCTACATAGCACACTTTAGGCATCTCTCCATTACATCAGCAGTGTATAATCTTCAGAATATCAAAATACCATCACAATATTATAGTTTGCCTTTACAGAACGTAGACTTCATTAAGCATCACTACTAGACAGTTATTCCAGTCATAGAGAAGAGTAGGTGAACTTTTCAGATGGCACGGACTAACCTACATTACATAAATGACAAGATCAGCTCTGTTTGGATACACAGTCATTCCTTACTACATTAACTATAGTAAAAAAGTAAACTGCAAAAAGTAACAGAAAACAGCAAAACAGCAGAGGATAAAATTCCAAAGAACTATACTTTTGCAACCATTAAGGAAGAAACTGCTTGCAAGGTCAGGAAGAGGAAGTTTCTTTAATAACAGCATGATGGAGGCATAATACATGCGCAAAGTCACGTAGTGACAAGCACACAAGAAGAATTGAGTGCAAGAGTGCTTCAGAAATATTATACAACCGGAACACTCGTATTAACTTCAGGAGAAAGACAGTAATATTTTGTGGAAGAACCAACAGAAAAATTGAGCTCAACTTCGAAGGGGAAAAAGAGGAATGTAAGAGTCCTCTCATACACACAGAAGATAAAGCTTTAATTTCTCTGCTACAAAACTTAAAGAAAAAAAGTAACCAAAACCGGCCAAAGTTAAGAAATTAAGTACCTTCAAGTTTTAAAACAATATAACTATCCACCAAGGAATTTGCAGAATATTCGCGTTTCCAAGTTTTACCGCACTAGCTTATAACAAGGCACAACAAAAGGAACAAAAGTAAGACTGAAGAGAAGGTGAGTAAAATCTCAGGAAGGTTCCTGAGAAGTCACTAGGAGGCAAGGAACAGAGACCTGCAAGACAGCACATGCCAAAAAAAAAAAAAAATGGAGAGGCGCATTTCATCATGTAACTTCATATTCAGGAACAAGAACAAAGAGAACAGAACGTGGAAGGCAAAGCTTTTCGAGACGGCACTTTTCCCAAATGGAAAACTGAAAACTGAACCCTACCACTCAGAAGAGAAAAGCTTCTCCTGGCCATGATAACATTCACCATGTGGAAGATAAATACATTCACATTTAATCCGTTCCCTTTTGATTTGCAGTGGAAAAGAGACATCTTCACACCCCAGAGGAGCTCTGCAGCACAGGAAGAAAGCATTGCAAAGGCGCCAGGGAATAAAATGGGGACGAGACTGACTTCAGGCATGGGTACTCCCTGACTTGCACTGACTGAATTACCACAAGCAGGGCAAATTTTAAGCCTCTAATACAGGCTATAAGTTTCCTACAATTTTGTAAAGCTGCTATTCAGTTACTGTTTTCAGTCACACAGTGTTCACCCCTTTCTTCCCCCTATCTTCTTTTGAGAACATGTGGATCCTTCAGGGTAGACGCCGGATGAAAAGTCCGATGCTGTCAATTAATTTCATCTATATAACATTTGAGAACAAAATCAAAGCTGCATTCACATTCGTGACCTTTAAAACTGAATCCATTTGCCTTCTATTGAAGCAAACATATAAAGTTTCAACAGGCTAAACAGAACAGCTAAAAAAACCACTTGAAGTGGGCACAAGTGCCAGAACTAGAACTCTCTGAACTGTCTGAACATTCAAAACAGCTTAGAGGAGCACAATAAACATCCTTTCCTTCTCTTCGTGGAATCTGTATCTACTAATTGATTCATTCTGTTCCATAATACTTTCATTCTACAGTCCTCTCTGCTCCTGACCACCTGCTCCCTCTCCCAAGGTTTTCAGTATCTGTAAAAATCAGAGTAGGCAGAAGGGAAGCTCTATTTATGGATAAGCTTCCCCCAACATTCTCAGTGCTACAATAACTTTTATGTAAATATTACTCATAAAACCTCAGTGCTAACTAATAGCTTTTAGAGTGTATGTTTGGAAAAGATTGCTGCATTTGATCATTTCCAGAATAAACTCTTAACCTCCACTCAAAACTCTTACCAGAAAAATTTATCTTTATTTTTTTTTTTACTCACTTGGCCACAGACTGGATAACTTTAGAAGATGTATCCTTAATATTAGTGAAAAATCGCTCTGTTCCACCCCTCAGAATATCAAAGAATCCTCCATAAGTCTGGTCACATTCGGCAACAGTCAGGCCTAGAGTAGTTAAATAAAAATAATTTTTAACAGAAGTTAAATCCTGGAATGGGCTCCACATTAATGCAAGCTGCCTACAAGGCTGTAAGCAAACAGACATATAGACTAAGCTCTGCTTTGAGGTTTACAGTTCTAAAATAATCTTAACAGTAACCTATACAAAAATGGCCTTGGCATGTCCAAGAAGCACTAATCAACTATTTAAGTTACTTAACAGAATATTTGCATTTAAAAAAGCAGAATACAATATTTCTGAAGCTAAAGCATTTATTTTATACTGATTGTGCAGCAATGCACATTTTTGATATCAATTGCTTAAAAGGCAATCTGTTTACGCATCTGCCCTCTAGAGACACTTTAATACAACAATTCAGAAGCAAGGTGGTATAATTAAGTTAAATTTTAAACAGGCTCCTGGATAGTAGGACCCTGTTGATATGATTGTATACAAACACCGTTGACCATTAAAAAAAAGATGACTAAGACTTTTGAGTAGAATCCTATAAGGAAGCTGGACACTTCCACAGAAATTGATGCACAAACATTTCCACTATAAACATTGTATTATTTACAAACAGTATAAAGTATTTATAAACAATAAAAAAAATAAACACACTATTTTAAAATTTGTCTCTCTGATATGTTTTCTCTCAAGGGCAGCAGACAAGCAATATGGCAAAAAATACCATGCTGGTAGGAAATTCATCGTAAAATACTGCCTTGGTGTCTTTCTAGCTGAAATGTTAAGCTCTACTTCATATTTACTTATGATATGTATGACAAGACAGAGTTAGAAATAGTCTCTTCATTTAGTAGGAAGTTAGATGCAAGTAAGCCTGTCTAGCTTTTTATCTTGTTATAATAAATGTAAACATTTTCATCTGACTGCACTTGGGAACACTCACTTTATGCCAGCATTTATTCATGTAACTCTGAAGAGAATTCCTTTCTGCAAGCATTTCCTTAAACTCTCCCCTGCACGACCCTCTCATCACTAGCTGTGCAGACTGCACTGTGTAGCTAATTCTGAATTAGGCAGTAGTGAGTGGGCAGGTCACTAGTTGAGGTGCTTCCTTCCACCTCACTGGGCCTTAGATACATTCTTCTTTTGGAAAAGTGAAAACCAGGCAGCTTTAGAGCAAAAATTAGCAAAAATACTCCCAATTATCAGTGGATTTTATAATTATTTTGCAGGAGGGGGAAGTGTGGGAAATCAGGGGAAGAAGGGAGCCTGGTCCCCAGACTACTGCAAAAAGCCTTACTCTCTTATACAAGCTTAGAGGAGGCTAAAGTAAATACACTATCAGGTCAGTGATGTCAATGATCCGTAGCTGACTTCAGTCATACTCAAAGTCTGTGCATTTACTTTTGCATTTCGTTTTTCACCACCTCAACCACGAGACACCAATAACCCTGTTTTAGCATAAAGCGTATTTAATGACAAGTGGCTCTGCTTGTAAAGCCAAGACAAAAGTGCCACCTTCCTATATCTGAGATTGATTTGTTAGACAAATACAGAATGTTTATCTCAGTAACTTCAGCCCCAGATTAACAAGGCTTCAATTGAAATACAGCGCTTCACAGAATATCAACAAATTTAATTTCTCTTAAATTTACCTGTTAGCATTATACACTTTCAAGTATCACAGGCCTGGTTGAATCAGTTTAATGTTTAAAATTAGTCATTTTTTTTCTTTTGGCATAAGAATTTAAAGTTTCTCTACAGCTCTTGTTCTTAAATATAGCTCATTGTATCACCAACTTATTTTCATCAAGTTTTGATTCACTTATTTTCCCCTCTCTTATGGTTAATAATGCATGTTGGTTTCAAATACTTCACATTAAGAAACTAAATATGATGCTTTCTGGCCATGAATTAGAAAAACTCATATCTGCACTGTTTGTCTGTATCTGCAAAGTTTGCCTGTATCAGCCTACAGGCAAGCTTTGAGGAAAATAAGACAGGGTTAGAAACAAAGTTGAATGTAAAATAAAACTACGTAAATACAGAGGTAGTTAGCAGTTGTGCAAAATGTCTACTTTAAAACTTCACTTTTCCTCCCGTAATAAGGATGTTATTGGTTCTGTGAAATCTGAGGTATCTTTCAGCACACACCTGCATTGTACATGTTGTTGAGCTGTCCTGCGGGCTTGGAGCTCTGTGAAACTGCTGTCACGGACATTCGAGGCTGTGCGTTGTTTCCGTAGCCTCCATTCTGTTCCAGGAGCTGTGGAGATTCATGTCCATTACGAGGATTTTCATACTGATTCAGCCAATTATTATGCTTTGCAAGCTACTTCCACTTGGCTCAAACAAGCTTACTACCAGTTACTGAGTCTCAGGAGAAAGCCAGGAACTTAAACGCTAATTGATTTTCTTGTAGTTCTTTTTAAACATTAAGCATCACTATAAGTACCTAAGTGTAGGCAGAGCCCTCACATACCTTATTTTTCAGTGCAAGACATGATTAAATGCACATGCCAAACCAAGCACTTACCCAGTGAAGAATAACCCAAGATCTAGACAATTCTGTCAGCAAGGAATATGAACTACAGCCTGCTTCCTTCAATGTCACACAACCACTGTGCTTTAAAAATCTATTTTCAAACATCCTATTAGTAATATAAAATTAATTCAGTTAAGTTGCAAAACTAGCTAGGGTCAATCTTCCAAAGGCTTCCAAAGAATGAGATCCCTACTCTGACATCAGTTACTAAACTGATATTGGGTAACAGAGGTGAGAAAGGAGACAATCAATAACACCTCTTATGAGACTGACTTACCTCAGTGATAGGAGATTTAGGATTAACATTCCTAGCTGCTGCAATTTCCTGCAATTGATTCACAAGTTCTGTGATTGACAACCTCTCCTCTGGGTTCACCTTCAAAGTACAATCTAAAAAGGTATATGCATATAGATGATCCACATGTTTTCAGATATCTCTCAGAGATTTTTCTTGCAGAAATCATTTTCTTCAGTATACTTTAATGCAAAATAAGCATTCAAACAAGGGAAATCAGGTACAACAACAACCAATATCATATCATGCATCACTGCCAAAGTATCAAGGTACAACGACATTTTGTGGGTGTGTTTTACACCCAATACTTTGGTAAGAAGTTTAATACTGTAAAGACCTTTTAATGAACAACAATGGAAGCAACTTTGTACCCACATCCAATACGGCTGGAGGTGGTGACAATTTTTTGGCACTGTAATGCTCCGAGTAAGGCATTTCGAGTTTAAGGAAAAATGTATTTCCAAGGTAGATTCAAAGAAAGCGAACGAAACACTAATGGTTCCTGTGGCCTAAGCCATATTTTAAGATAGTTCAATAGCATTGGAAATAGTTTTATTAAAAATTAGGGTTCTTTTCACATTTGCTAAGGAATTTTGAATAAAACGAAGAACTATCAACTAACCTTTTCACTGGCACATTAGTAAGCACCAGTTAACATTTGCTATCACGATACTGTAAGTGCTAAGACACCTCGAGACAAATAACACTGTAAACTTACGAATGAGATCATGAAACACCGAATAGCGGGTGTCATTCTGTGGAATGACGTATTTCCCATTGACTATGCGAAGTTTAGCTCCATCTTCAAATGGATGTTGCCTGAAGCACAGTAAGTACAGGATACAGCCCAGCGCCTACACAGAAATAAAGGTAGAAATAGTTATCTCAAGCAATAAAACTTAAAGCTGAAATTTAAATAATGCAGCTGATTAACTTCCTAAAACTGCTCACATATCAAAGGTTTCAGTCTTCAACTGACAAGTCATATAACTCCACAGATATTCCTTGTGCTTCAGAAACCAGTTTCGTAGTTTGAAATAATTAGTGTCTTTATTTCTGAAAACAAAACACTTAACAAATTCATTTATTTGACTTAACAGTTAGAGTTTCTCAGCAACATTGCTTTCACAAATAGATTTGGGGACACAGTGGTTTCTTTAAGCTTTCTGTCTCAAAGATTTTATTATGCTTTTAAAAATGATTACAATATTTCCATTTTATAAATTTTACAGTATATACATACAAAAACTCCTGCAATATTGAGCATATTTCTATATTGCTAAATTCTAGACCATTAACATTCTATCCTTCGCATCTTTCAATCATTTTGTCTGCCACTGAAAACAAAGGTTCAGCACAATCCACATTCCTGAAAACTGTGGCTTCAAAGTAGAGAATCTCGCTTCCAACTGCCAGAGACTACTGCAGCCTAAACTATTCCTGTAAGTCTAAGAGGTCAATTTTATTTTGGAACTCAGTCTAATTTTAATGTCCCATCCTCATCATTGTAGGCAAAACATTTACCCGAGTTTATTTAAATTACATCATATGACAAATTTGTGACAAAGATCAAACACTGAACGTATAGGAAGCTAGGAAAAGTATCAAAAAGAGTGGTTATAAACCAAGAACTTTTGCAGTCATTTTTACAGAAAAAAAGAATGCAAAGATATTAGCAAAAACACTTGTAATTACCTTGCTAACATGAGTTAAATTATAAAATATTCAAATTCCCTGGATTAAAAAAGCCTTCCAAACTACTGGAAATTGTATTCAGATGTAACAGCATTAGAGACAAGTGACTGAAAAACAGAAGACTTCCGAAAGAGGAAATGGAAAAGGAATATTATTTCTTCCTTCCTTATTTGAGGAAGGTGGTTGCACCTGTTATTTTTCCTCAGGCCAGCAGATAAGAAGCAGAGTTAATATGATGAAAAGTTTTCTTTTAACTGTATGAATAGTCCAAAGAACTTTCTAAATGAAATTAAACTGCACTGAATCTACAGAGATGATCATTCAGAATTAAAAGCTACAACATGCCTTTCACAGTAATATCTAACAAAGAATTGGCAAGGAGAATGAATTTGCTTTTAAACATATTCCAAACACACACACACATTTCCAGAAATTTGGGAAAAATAAAGGTATTTCAGACAGAAAAATCTATATGACAAGGTAAACCCTGTCATGTCATTTCAGTTGAATTTTGTGTATTTCCATTTCCCAACTAATGCAATTTCCTGAACAGAAATTCAAGATCATTGCTTTCAAAGTTTATTTTCTGAAAATCTCACAACTTAAGTTGAAAATCTAGAGAAAACAATTGAATAAGTCAAAGAACCCTTTTTTCCTTGTTTGTTTTTTTAATCTAGGCACATTCCTGACTGAGGAATCTCTATGGTTATTAACTAGCACTTCACCTATGCTGCTGTTCTACATAAGACACCCCTGCCTCCTTTGTATTTAAGGCTCACACAGTGACAAGCACACAGATAGTAACCATGAGTGCTACTTGCTCCATGTGTTTTCTTAGGAAAATTGCTTTGTTTATGCTAACTACAAGCTACAGATCAGTTATGCTCTCAGATGGTGTCATATTCCACTGCCAAATACTTTGCATGTTTTCACTGAACGCAGAGAATTAAGGAAAAAACACAAGTTCCAAAGAAAATATTGTAAATGGTACATAGACCTCTTGCCAAAGAGGCAGGAATGTCCCCTGACACCTAATGAGTCAGCAGAAGGTAATTGCCATGTTAGTATTAACAGATGTAGATTCTAAAAAAAACGTCCTTTTGGGTAATGTTTTTGATAAATTAAGTTCTAAATTTGTGCTTAATAGATGTGATTTTTGTTCAGGTTCCTAGTATTAAGACATGTGAAGTAACAATTTTCAGAAAAACATCTCTTGATATTTCTCCACACGCCAAAAGAAAACAGCTTACAGTTGCAAAAGCATTATTACTATCTTATCACTAGTTTAAAAAGCTGTATGGAGTTATATGCCAAATGAAGAATTTAAAGCACTAGTTGTTACACTTTCTATATTTTCTGTCCTTTGATACAAGAAGTCAAGCTCTAAATACAGCCAAGCTGGCAAAACACATACAATTGCAAAGCTTGACACCTTGTAAGAGTCATGCAATTAACTAAAATACCCAAGTAATATTCCTGGGCTGCGGTTCTGTACTACTTTAGTATTACTTAATTGAAAAAAGTATTAGAGGCTCCTCACTCAGATCTGTCCTTAAATCTGGCTATTGCGTTTTCCCCTGAATCTTAACACTTGTAAATAAACACACTACCTAGACAAGCAGTTGTAACTGAACTTGGCAAATAGTGGTCCCAATATTACATGCATGGCAGAGTACGAAATGCAAGAATTTGAATTTAAAGAGCAAAATTAATAAGTCTTTGTGGTGACAAGCTCCATCTAAGGAACAGTTTCAATAAATACCAGAAAAAATTCAGTATATTTTTCAGTCAAACTGAAACAAAGAGAAAACTCTACACTTCAAATTTACTATTCAGACATGCAATTCATACCACTTAAATTTTGATATAAGAAACAGACTAGCCTCAATTTCTTTTGTTCTGGGGTTTTGATTTTAATTTGCTGATTAAATATTAAAGCCTGCAAATTCAGCTTCATTATAACAATAGCAAATACAGTACATAAAAAGAAAAATTTCTTACCCAAATATCTTGTTTTTCACCAATTGGAAAATTCGAATACAAGTCTATCATCTCTGGTGCTCTATACATTGGTGTGGTATTCCTTGTAATCTGCAGAAGATACAATTTCTTTAAGTAGAAGCTTGAATAATACGTTCTAACAACATTTAGCTACAGAAACTGTCAATACCTGTCAATATAGAATGGATAGCACTAACAATGAAAGTTGATGTGAGAAATACTTATCAAGGCAGAACAGAGGCTTTTACAGTGCAGGATAAAGGTTGTAGGACTATTAATTACAATTAAATAGCACGGTGAACTTAAAAACAATTATGTTCGCATATAGCACAATTGGGACAAATACAGAAACATAGTAATTAAGATAAGAATTTAGGATCTAGTGAATACTTCAATTCCTCATCACACTTAATGATAGCGCAGAAAAATCCTAAGAGTTAGACTATGTTCACAATAATCCCTGAAGACCAGACCTTTTTCTAATACCCTTTTACACACCACTAAAAGGCAGTGGTACAATATCAATTTTCTCCAGAAACTACTGCATTGCTCTCTGAGGATTCCAAGAAGGGAGGAGAAAGACTCATGGTAGAGAGTGCACACACAAAAATTTAACTGTTACTGTACTTCACACTCAAAAAAATATGAGTCTGGTTGACATATTGTGTTAGATTTACCAGTATTACTTTCATAACTAAGCACACATGTAAACAATATTGCAAAATAGGAGAGTGTTTAATACTGTCAGTGTTATCGTAGCAACACAGAAGTACTTTCTTTTCAAGCCCTGTTCAGCAAATCTACTGCTTCATGATACACCATCTAGCTAAGAAAATTGGATCAGAAGTGGAAATCATTTGGATACAATCAACTTCCAAAGAGCACAATTAAAAGAAGGCTTAATTATTCCATCACATTTGATTATTTCCACAAAATGCAGAATGAGCAGCACTCGGGTTGCAGCAGTTCACACATGCAGATACACAGCACTAGCTGCAACTGAACCATAGCAATACACAAACAAAAAAGAAATTTATGCTATACGCTCTGACCAAAACAATCCTTAGTTGTCTCAGAGGTCCCTAAATTAGGTCAAGATCAGATTAATGGTCAGTATTTTAGAATTTTAGAATCGATCACATCTGAAAATTCAAACCTCTTCTTCAGCCAACGCTCTCTTCTGTGCAGACCAGTTGTAGTCAGGATAGTAAGCTACAGTTGTAGCACTACCAAAGTCGCAAAGTTTAATTGTCCCTTGATTACTAATAAGCAAGTTTTCCACCTGAGGAAAGAGGTAGAATAACAAATTGAAAACACCTCATGTCTGAACACTAAGAAACACACTTTTAAAGGTCAATTCACTTGTGTATATACAAATAAACGTTAATACTCTATTTTAGTCCAGAATATTTGTGTTTACAAGAGTATTTCAGATAACACTGTACATTACATATGCATGATAGCAATACAATCAATTTTTACAGGATGTGTTCAAAACTAACAGCAGAAAGCATCCAGGACAGAGCAGGTAAATCTCAAAATAACAAAAAATATATTTTATCAGTACCCAACTGCAAACTAGTTTTCCAAAAGGCTATTTGCATAAGAAAAATTTTGGAATCCAAACTTTATCATGCGTAAAACTGAACACTGTTAGCTTAATCACAGTGAGACTGAGGTTAGGGATTTTGTGGACACAAATTAAGCAGGAAGGTACCAATAGAGCAGCAGGCTGCTGGTGTAGACCCAGAAAAGAGTAACCATAACCCTATGAGGAGAGAGAAACCAGCTCTATGAGCACCATGCACCACCTGAATGGTTCACCTTCATACCATACCTTTCCTACTTCCTAAAATTGTGCCATTCCTGGACTAGGTAAAACACTAAGGAACATGTAGTAGGGGAGAGAGAGGAGCAGGCATTGGGCAGGAGAGCTGTGGGGTCCTAACCTCACCTAACGCACCATCTGAAAAGATATATTACACATATGCATATATGTGTGTATATATATATATGTGTGCTCTAGCTGTCCCTGCTTGAGCACGGGTTGGACTAGATGATCTCTCAAGGTCCTTCCCAACCTCAACCGTTCTGTGATTCTGTGATCTCCACCTGAAGTCAGGTAAAGGGGTGTGCTTAACAGAACCATTAGTAACATTTCTACACCACACTTCAGAGCTAGCAGTCTTTCTCCTCAATACCATCTGGTCTGTGTGTTGAATAACCTTTACTAACCTCTATAATGAGATGTAGCCATTCAACATTCAATAAAAACACTAAATAAAATGATCGTGCTAACGAATGAAAAAAATGGATCAAGATCAAGCTGCTGCAGCACACACAGGCTCATTGCTTTCTGTGCAACTTTGAGATAGGTTTCTACAGATTTAAAACATTTTGGCTGATTATTCACATTCTAACAGGCAACATGATCTGTGCTATGCAGTAAATAGCTTATCCTGAAATGATAATTTTCAGAGAATTAGAATATCACAGAAGCACCAGATTCCATATTAGTTTGCCTCTAGTTAGTTTGGAATTCTTAGAACTCTAATTAGGTGGATTCTTAGAATACTACAAATCTTAAGCACCAATTTTACCCAAAGGTATTCTGGAAAAAAACTATTCTACACTGACAAGAGAAGGGAAAAAATAGGAGGACAGAAACAGCCATCATTCTGATGTTGAACTTGTTTTAAGAGGCACCATGCAGCTTTAGGAATCCTAATATTTTTAATCAAAATAATTTAGAAAAAAGTCTGTAATACTTATAAAACAATATTTTTTGTACAGGACATATTTACCATGTATGCCTTGAACTTTACTTCAGTATACCTAGAACTTTTGACTTACTTTCTATGCTGCTGACCTAAATCCAGGTTTCTGGAAAGTGTACTGCAGCTAAGTGACCATGTAGGAATACTATCTGACTCCTTACTACAGCAAGGTCTCTGCCTATTGCAGCACAACCACCATCATTCCATCTTCCTTTGCAGTCTCTAGCATGAAAATAGCATGAAACCAACATGAATCTAAATCACTGCCTCTTTTCATCTCTCTCTCTGCAGGAAAAAAAAAATAGAGACTTTGAATTACAGCTCTAGCTCAACTACAACGCACCTGACATCACTTCTATGGAAGTGACTATATGAAAAGTTGTATATGTAAGTATATGGATGTATAATTTTTATCCCTTTTTCATGTAAGGGCTGCATCTTTTCCACAAGCTTTTCTTAAGAACTAGCTTATAGATATTTCAAATACAATAACTTATGTAGAAAGAAGTGACACCAAAAATTTCATCGCAGCTTGATTAAAATGTCTTCAGTATGATCTAAAAGCCAGCTCAATTGTAAAAAGAGAAAAGGATTGCTCCCATTAAGAAACTAAATTTGCCCTGAGGGAATATGTCACTGCATAGCAGTAAAGCTTTCAAAACTTAGGACACAACTCTAAAAAGCAATAATTTCCCTTCTTTGAAATAATCCAGTACATGCTTATCTATGTAGGAACAAAATTTCTTTGTCTTATTCTCAGCTGATACCATGTCAAGCAGAAAGCAGACATATATGAAATGCAGAGATTGACTTAAGAAGCATCATCTTTCCCTTGAGTTTATAATGGCTATGAGCATCACCCCTTCCCACTATAATCAGCTCTGTATTACAGTAATGTTCCACTAATGATCAGGGCTTCATCATCAGAGTCACAGTGTACACGGGAGTCAATCTCTACTCTCAAAACACAGAATTCCAATACAGAAGTCATCTCTTCAAATATCCAAAGATTCTTAAAGTACGAGACTGACTACACCGTACCACGAGGCCTTCTGTATCTTGGTGAAGATTAACAGAATCAGACTAAAGATCTACAACAAATTATGCATACTACATTCTGAAACTGAAGACAAAAAAGCACTAAAACGTAAATTACTACCAAACCTTAAAATTATAGTCACTTAAATAATTCAGCCTGCTACACATCCTCAAACCTCAAAGGCTAAGTAGCCTTTGATAGAAAATTTGACACTATCTTCTCTTTTGTACCCCTTCTATTTAAAAAACCCGCCTACCTCCAAAATTGACCTTCAACCCAAGACCTAGAAGAGTTTAGTTATTCTATCAAAACAAAACTACTTAAAGGCTAACTTAATAAGCAAAGCAGGATACATGACTTTCCTATCACCTTGCTCAGCTGGAATAGTTGAAGTACTAACACCACATGCACAAAGCAGAGATGTTATTTGAAGACAGGGGTACTTCAGTTATAAGCTTCATTGACAGCCAGAATTCTTGAAAAGACAATAAACAAGCACTGGATTTAAGACTTTCTGTTGTGTTTGATCAACAGCTTCAACACTATTCCACCCTAACAGGCTCCTTGTGTTTAAAAATAAAACCTTTATTTAGATATTTTAACGCACCTTTAAATCTCTGTGCATAATTGGAGGCTTCTGTTTGTGCATATGCTGCACTGCTCTGCAGGTCTGATAAAAGATCTTCAGCACTGTATCACAGGAGATAGGCCCCCTGGACTCTACTCTCTTTAAGAATTCCACCAGCTGTCCTGTAGGAACAAAAAGTCATATTAGCACACAGAACTAATTCCCGAAAGCTTCCCACTAGCACAAAGATCTCTGCTCATCAAGGAAGATTTCTAGCACAGTGCTTTAATATTCCAGATGGATATAACAATTAACAGCCTGCAGCACCAGCTAAAAAAAATGCTATTGGATAATACTCCTTTCATTCCTTCCCCAGACAAGCCTCAAACACAAAGCACTTGATCATCCCACAAAAGATGCGGTTGAACTGTGCTGAAATATATTATCTTTAAGAGGCATTCAGAACTTCTATGCTGTGAAGCAATCTGTGCAGAAGAGCTGTCAGAGGAAAGGTGCAGCACTGAAGGAAAATTAACTTTACCTTTACACAGCTCAGTAAGCAGAAGAAACTCTCCCTGTCCTGTGTCTGATTCTTCTTTTCCTATCGATGCAGCAGAGCAGAACTGTACAATGTTGGGATGACCTGAAAGCTTTTTCTGGAAACAATTTGTTCAAGGAAGAAAACTGCCAAGTTTACTGATACTGTGCACAGCATGTCACATACATTTTATTTGAAATGTTAGCTCAAAAGTGCAGAAAGCATCACAGCTGCACTTAAAATGCCAAACAGAATGAGAAAGTCTAAGTCTCAGTCGGAAAAGAAATAGTCTTCAAGGCAAGCCACTTGAAAGTCAAAATAAAATGGTAAAAAATAGTTGTGATTAAGATTGAGGAAAGTGGACCCCAATTCAGGTCTAGCTCCTGCTTTTTGCCTTTTAAGAATGACAGTGTATTAATAAAAGTAATAGACCTTTTAAAGTATCAATCTGTTCTCTAGTTGGTTGATAAAGAAAGGGTCACTGCACCTGTCTTTCCAAAAGAAGCATTAACTATGCCTCGTACATTTTAATTCTAAGCAAATAAAACAGTTCAAAACAAATAAAAGCTCTGAAAAATGGGATGTTTACTCTCCTGCAAGTCTTTCTTTTTACCAAAACATGTATCATGTTTCACTTTCTATTCATAAACTTGAGGTATTATTTTTGAATTACACATAGGTGAAAAAACCTAAGTGATCTCAGCCCCTCCTACTGTACATTGTAATATCTGTCTTTTATTTTCTGTTACACATTATCTAGGCCAAATAATGTGACTCATGCCTAGGATTTATGAATAAACAGTGCTTAGGATGTATTCACCAAGTCTTAAAACAAAGTGTAGACAGCCTAGGAAAGCTATTAAACAGTAAAAAAAAAAAAAAAAAAAAAAAAAAAAAAAAAAAAAAAAAAAATTAGTTAAACAAAAAAAAAAAAAAAAAAAAAAAACAAGATGAATACATTAGTTCAAGCAAAGCAATTCAAAGTACCATTTTATACTGTATGTACCCCTGCACAAACTGGTACTTCAGGGTTGCAGGAAGTGCTTTCATTTCACATTTTTATCTTGAACATTTAGCAATATTTAGCCCTCAATCATTTTGTGCACACGCTTTCATGTGCAGGAGCTGTGGAAAAAAATGCTTGAACATTGTTATTCATGGAAAACTCATCCCCAGTGAGATATAGTGAGAGTAGCCAGAAATTGTATACTCTTTTGGTGCTCAATTCATTGAGTGTATTTCAGTAAACTTTAAGATTTTTTCCAAACATTTCAGCAATCATATAAAAAAAGATCCATGTAAGTAAAATTCTAAAGATGAGAATGGCTTTAACTGGTGACTCAAAATGTAGCTGAATACTCAGCGTGTATAAAAAATAAATAAAGTCATGAAACAAATTGAGGGTCTCTGAAAAAAAACGCCAGCGAGCAAGCAGCAAGACTGAAAAAATGGAGATGACATTATACCCTGTTAAAGTCATTGCTATAGGGGATGAAAAAGACAGCAAAAATGGTATAGGAAAATTTTGCTTCTTTCTTCTGCTTTATGTATCTTACTAAAATTACTTCCTGGATACTGAGTATTACTTTTTAAGCCTGTAGTATTCAAAGCAAAAATTAAGAAACATAGATAGCAAAAGCAAAACACTAAGTAGTCAACAATAAATCCAGCACATATGAGGGAAGTCTATCTAAGACCATATAATCAACTGTCAACAATAAAGTCTTTTGAAGGTCACAAGTCTCTGCAAGAAAATCCAAATACATTTCAAATCTCCTCACACAAAGCACATGAAAGTCTACACTAGTTAGTAAAGTTATCTGTATAGATTAAATTCTTGCAATTTCTGAAAACCAAGTTTGCTGGAATGTTGGTGCCTGTGATAGAACAGGAAGCAGGATTCCTCTGAATCTACAGAGCAGTCATCTATGTTCACAGAAATATTTGACAGACATTTTAAATTTAAACATCTACATATGATCCAGAAAAGGATACCATAAAGCAAACTTCCTGAATGATGGCTTTGTTCTTTTCCTCTTCATTAGACAACAATCGCTGTCAGAAAACAGAATATTTGAGAACACTTAGATATTAAAAAAAAATAAAAACAACGCGTTTTTTTCAGAACACTAAGGATAAGGTACAACCAAAAACTCAGGGACCTGCAATAGGAGACTGAGCAAAGAGCATTCATTTCACAGAAACTGCTGCAAAAGCAAACAGCTCTCCATTTATCTGAACCATTCACATTTATCACCAAGCACATATCTGTAGTTTTTTATCATTTATAAAGCAACTGCTTTCTGACAGCCTTCAGCCAAGATTCTAATATCCTTTGGAGTCTGCATGTGAACAGGATCGAGCTGAGGGTTTGCTACAAAATTACCAGATTAGGAACTAGCGGAAGGAAATTAAGGTTTCACATCTTATCTATTATTTTAAAACCAGTGGAAACAAACCCGCAGCATATGCTACAGTAACAAAACATGTGACAGCAACTACACTACGTAGCTCCTGGAAAGAAAGAACAGACCAAGACAATTCCTGAGGTGGTAAAATATCATCCTACCTCTCTCATCTCTTATACTGTGTTCTTCTACCTCCTCTTCCAAGATGAGTTTTTTTCCACGTAGCCACAAAGCACCCCTACTCTGCAATGAAGTCATCCAGTGGGGGTGGGGAGTTTGCAGCAATTCATGATATATGACTTTACCTTTTTTTTCCTCCCTCCATAATACTTCAGTTTTTCAGCTGCTAACGTAATTATTCTAGGTCTTTTCAACATAAGAATCCACAGCAGATTTCCTGAGCGTCTCAACTGACTAGCTGAATGTTCAGCAAGTCAAAGTGGGCAGCGCTAGTTCGAAGACTGCTCGAACACTTACTCTGCAAGTGCAAAGGTAGGTCAATCAATAGGCTAAATCTGCTCATGAAGAATGAAAACATATTCCCTTTCGTCTCTTCAGGTAGCTAGGAAAGACTTTTTCCCGCATTCACGGAAAAAAAAAAAACGCGTGGGGCAGGTCATGAATTTCTAGCCAAAGAGCACTATTACCTAATAAAGCAGTTCCCATCTTGGGCATGCAGGTATTAAATACAGGGCATGAAAAAGAATATGCATTCTAAATGAGGGTAATTTGTCTTGAAAATAGCACTATATCTTTCTGGACACCCCCAGGTGACATGCTTAATAGTATAGATTAAGAATAAACTGTCATGCTGAACGACTAAATGACAAGACAGACATTTCGATCCTGCAGTAAAGTAAATTCACTTTACCTTTAAAGCATAATCTTTGCCACTTCCAAGATCTTGGGCTTCATAGACAAAGGCAAAGCCACCTACAAAAAGAAGGTATATGATTAAGCCAGTATTAATTTGCCCATTCCGGTAAATTAAGCCTTTGACTTTAACAAAGCCAACACATGAGTTAAGAACTTTTTTCACATACAGTAAGCATGATGATTTTTAGGGGCTTTCCACTAACAACGGGCAACCAAAGAAATCAACTACTCTTGAATGGAATTTGCTTTCTTTAACACTAGAATCAAAGTGACTTCTTTTCTGTACATTAATCTACATACGTAATTTTCTGTAAAGCAATTTAATACAAATCTTTATAAAACCAAGATTCAGTACTGTGAATATTAGAATACGCCCAAATGTAATGATTTCAATTAATCCACTCTTGGTTGGGAATACCTTTTGCATTTATGCTTTATATAAAAAGTAACAATGAGGGAGATACATTCAAATAAAAACTCCCTTCATGCACTTCCTTGCATGAAGAGGTACTTCAGGATGCAAAGTTAGGGGCTTCGGGTCAGCACAAGTTCCTAGAACACAGTCACTGTGGTTAGTTTTCTGGAAGGCACTTGAGCAACAAAACAGTGACAGCGGCAGCACCCATCACTGAACATTCACTTTGCAAGCTCAGCTGAGCTGCGTACATTGACAAGAGATCTGATAGTTAATATGGGAATAATCTGAACTGAGTTTCAAGCACACACCTTACCACTATCCTTACACATAAAATCCACAGATCCCACACAGATGCTTTATTCAAATGCCCTCCTCAAAAGTACGTGTGAAAGCACCTACACATCAGAACAAATTCATCCCATCAAACCCACCCTATTACCTCCAAGTGACTACTGAAGAACAACCAAACTGATTAAGTTTCTGAAGGCAGCTCTGTGCCACAAAATTATTGCTAACTTCCCCATCTGGTCTAATAAAACTTCCCCACAAGTCCTGCCTGGGCACTGAGGAATGTTTACCATGCAGATGAAATATAAAAATATGACTAAACTGAATCCTGCTGTGACTGATGTACAAAGGGGTCAATTTGTCGTTTTCAAAACTACAAATATGAGATGCCATCAATTAAATCCTCAAACAAATCAACTTTTTGCAATGGAACTTTTCTTCCATGTGTTCCTCTCAGAACTTCAGCCACAGCCACCCTGAAAGTTTCAAAATTTCAGTTGGAAAGTAGCCCTAGAACTCATATCGTTCACTTAAACACACTGACAGAAGTGACACAAGTTAAGTGTCTCAATGGAGAACCTGTTAATACCAACACTCATATTCACTATGCCTCGACCATCTTGAATTTTTTTCTGAAAACACTGCTGAAACATCTGGCTGAGACTGGGAAGGTTTAGAAGCTCTTTTCATTTAACTGCTGCGATCGGCAACAATTTTTCTAGAATTAAAACTACGTTAGTATTTTTCTAACATGACTGCCCTGTGATGTTTCAAAGCAAAAAGTCAGATCAGTTGGACTTTCTCCAGCTCACACTGGATGAACAGCAAAAAACGCCAAGTCAGACGAGTTACAAGTAGTCAGACAATTTTCTTTTTAAAGGGAAAAGTTAAACATTAAAATTCCCACAGAATGATCAGTTTATCAGTCACTTACAGGCAGTAAGCAATAGTACTCACTGCCAATAGGGCCTGTTGATTCACACATTTTACTTAAATTCTGAAGAGAGGTTTACTAAGCCATGGTAAAGCTTCCTGCTGTCTAAAATCTGAACAGAAAAGTAAGTGTATGTACATGCAACACATGTGTGTTTATTTGCATTGAGAGGGAGATCTGTTGTTACATATATGACTCAAGAAAACTGGGAGAACATAGGAAGTTAGCATGAACAGCAAAAACTGTTCTTGCAGAAGCACTCTCAAATGATAGAGAACTAGTTTTCAGTACTGAACACAGGCTGCACTAGATTTTATTAAAAATAAGCTTTAATTAATCTAATGCAAATTTAATTAATTTTTATCATTTAAAGAAACCATGTTGCCAACCATTAAATCGATCTCAATTCTCTTAATTACTACAGCAGCAGGAAAACCTAGGAAGCTCCACTAATTTTAAGTTCAGCTGTAAACTTACTTCCAAATGTATAATTGTCATTAGTGCGAGTCATCATAAAATATCCTAAGTATTCACTTCAGATAAGCACGGGAATTGGTTATTTTGAACAATGCAAATTATTTGAAAATAATGAATTCTTGTTATAAATAGAAGTTCAATCAAGCTCTATCTAGTTGAAGACATAGATATTTTACTTTAAGTGAATCACAAGCGATTCTCTTGGAAATGTAGGAAAATTCATACACAAAATTTCCAAACTAAGGTTTTGTTTAAGTCAAGTTTAAAGCTGGTGAGACTGAGCTTGTACCTTATTAGCAAGGTGCTTGGTTCAATTGCTATGTTTTCACAGCAGAGGCTTAAAAAAAAGCAAAACTAACAAAGAAGCTCCTTCCCAGAGCCAGGCTCTGTCACTTCAGTGGTCATGGTTTGCTAGAACTCCTACTCTTAGTTATGCAGCAAGATCACACAATTTTCACAGTGTCATTGAAAGCACAGTCTGAAAGCAAACTTTGTTAAAATGGCGATAGCTTGAGAGCACACAAGCAGCTTAAAGGATGCACTTTTGCTCTAGCTACTGCACTTAGTTTTTGAAGCACCAGAATACTAAACACAGTAAAAGAAAACTAACTGTTGAACTTGTCAGACCCCTTTGGAGTTTATTCCAGGCTCTCTGATCAATATACCTTGCAAAAATGCAAGGGGGAAAAATGCAGTTTCACCTGTTTTAACTACAGAGGATTTCACAGCCAGTAATGTCAGTCAGAGATCACACCCCTACATCAACATACCAGTAAAAACAAACGTCTTTATTGTAGACTTAGGCAATAAAAACGACAGTACAAAAGTTGAGAATAGAACATCCAACATTAATTCCATTTTACAGGGGTATAAGAATATAATTCTTTTTCAGGTGTTCTCTGATTATTTGAGTCTGTATTTAAGGCAGTCTTCCAAAGCTTTTTAAATTCAGCATAAAACCGATTTTACCATATACTGGTTAACCAGCTTCAACTCTCCTGCCAGGTCTTGCCCTGAGACAAACTTCTCTTTTCAGGGTTGAAGTGCTCCATAGTTCACTCCCAGAACACAGCTCAATCTGAAAAGTTGCCTCAAGATATTGTTTTTGACATACAAACTATGGCACTCCACAATACCAAGCAAGTTCACTGCACAACAAGTCACTGTAGATGTAAAACAGTGCTCAGAAGTTCAATTCATTCTGTATCTTATACATCTTCACTCCTCCAATCCAGACAAGCTGTTTCAGAAAGGACCCTCTTCCTGCTTGTCCATTAGTGGAGCTTCTGACCTAGAGGGACATTAACCACAGGAGGAAACAGCGACTGCAATGCGCTGTTTCATGACACACCTGCTAATCATGAGAAGGGGACCCTGTGAGTAACTCTTTAACACTTTAACACTTGATATGACTTAATCCTCCAGAACTGGGCCAACTTGTTTCCTTAACAATTTTGGGGTTAGGGTCATTGCTTAAAAGGAAGAGTATTTCTAGCCTGAACTACAACTTCCTACATCCTACTTTCAACAGCAACAACACTGAACTGCTTGCTGTTCAAAAACCTCTCTACAGATGCAACACAAGGAAGGTCAATACAAAAACTACCAGGTCGTTTATCAGAATGCAACCTTTTAAAAGCCACCTATGTGGTCCCAATGCATACAGATTTAAAAACTGATGAAACGAGAGGTCAGTGGCCTGTACCTCTTTCACTACCAAAGTGTTCTTTTGTCAAGGTGAAATTTTTACATTCTGAACAATCTGAATAATGCCCAATTTCAATATGTTTCTTTTCTTCCATGGTCTCATTGTCATACCCCTGGTTTGTTGCTCAGAAGAAGTATGAGAAAGCAACAGAAACAAAGAACCATGAAGTTGAGCATGTGCTACAGAACTTTGTTCCCTGCTTTTCACAGAACCATAAATCTCGTTTGCTGTCTACTGTTCAGTCTGACATGTAGAACAAGAAACAAAACGCGCTCTATAAAGTATTAAAACTATAAGCCAGATTTGCAGCAGATCAAATGCAAAATAGCTTAAAGAGTATTTACACAATTTAGTACTCCTTATCCCACTTGTGCAACTCATTTGTGCACAAGTTGCCTAGTAGAAAGTCAGCTGCATACAAACTTCATGAAAACAATTGCAGATGCAAAAGAAATTCTTCAAACTTCATGACTTCCATAAGCTTACGTGGATGACATGAAGACTGGTGCTTGCTGTGAAATACTTTTTCTAAATACTTGAAATTAATATTAATTGATCTATCACAGCAGTGCAATAGAATCTAGAAGGTATGTTTTTCAGGCTTGACTGGAAAAGCAGAGACCAAAATCCTAAAATTGCCTTTGTTCTATTTTAAGTTTCTATTTCTGCAGTTTTCTATTCTATCTTGAAACACAATCTACAACAGATTTTGCCTTTTGCTCCACAAAATGAGCTGTGAAGACATTCTAGCACAAATTCTCTAATATGATTTTAAAGATCAGAATCTGGAGTACATGGACTATTAACATGAACAGCAAAATCTCCATCCTCATTTGACCATACCTGGCTAAAGCAATAAACCAGTTCTCAACACATTACAACAAATGTGCATGAGCAGGCACACACCCAAAACCGCACACCACGCTTCTCAATATACTTTTAAAGACAAGCATTGCTAATTCAGTGCCATTGCTTCCTCCACTGACAGGAAACTGAGTGGTTTTCTCTAAGTTTAAGTCATACTTTTGCTCGAGATATCACTGTCGCATTTCACACGAAGTCCAAGTCCTAACCTGCACTACTTAGAACAGTGATTCCAGACCCATCAGGAATGATGAGGCACCATAGCTTACAGCAGTATTAATTGCCTACACTTAAATTAGCTGTTGACAAAGATAAGAATCGCAATTTTACACTAGTTATGACACAGAACCATTTTCATGATTCAAGTGTCTCTATTGTGGAGTTCAGTGAACTGAGTAACACAACCAAATACAGACTCTAGCTTCATTATTGATAATCACCTATTTGCTATTCAAGATACAAAATTTAACAGCAGTACTCAAGAAACCAATTGAAGTCATTTACTGGCAAAGGTTTATTTGTAGGAACATTGTATTATGTACAGAAAGACAGCAAGAACCAATAATAAACTGGATAACTATTTTCAACATTCTATAAACTCCCTCTGAAAACATTACCTATTCTAAGCAAAAACTTAACATGAAACTTGCAAAAATTCTCCTTTCAAGTCTACAAGAAATTGAAAAGTACCAGGTTTTGTTCCATGGATCATCTTGTGCTTCTTTGCAAGACAGTTTATGGCTCCTGCTTCATTTTTCAGTCAACCAGAGATATGAAATTAATCATGAACTGCTTCAACCATCTCAGCTACCCCATCACCACACAGCTAACTTTTTACAAGAAACACTCATTGAGCACATTCAAGGCTGCATGATGCTTTAGCGCAGAAGCAGTTTTGTCAGTATCAGCTGAATCACATTGTTATTCTGTCTTTCATTTGTGCGTTTTAAAAGGCATCAGTAACTTATTACACATTCAGTCAGCACCCAGCAATGGGCATCTCACCCTCCTCAGCAAGCTAGATACCCAGGCAGTTACAAACCTGGATTTATTACTTATGTAGCCTGGTGGGGACAATGACACTCCACAAACATGATCATCCATCCCCAAATTTCACTACTAACAGATAAACACCTAAAAGGATCATGGGGAAGGATGCTTTGCACAACACAGGCAAGCCACAAAACCAGGTAGCCTCCAGCACTTGGAAAACAAATGCATCTGGTTGTCTGTCCAGGTAAATGCTGCCAACTTCCAGGGGCAGGAAACAGGAAATTAAATTATGAAAACTGCTGTTCCT